ACCGACTAGGAGCATCAAAAACAGTTCAAAGCGATGTTAGGAATCATTTAGAACAGGTTCAACCCTATTTGGAACGGTTCAAGATAAACTAAAACTGTCCGGGATTATTTAGAACCATTTTAGAACTGACTGAAACGTTCCAGAATCATTTAAAATTGTCCAGACACATTTAGAACTGAATAAAACAATCTAAAATAATTTAAAACTGTCTATAATCGTTTAATACTGTCTAGAATGCTCATTTAGAACTGTCTAGAGGCATTTAGAACGCCCCAGAATCATATTAGAACTGTCTAGAATCGTTTAGAACACTCCAGAAATAGACAAAAATCGCAGAGAAAGTCACAAAAAATAACAAATCGTAGCCAACCCTGTCAAAAATGACGTCATTTTCAATTTTAAAACGTACCAACTTTACAAAAATAAATATCCCCTTATCGACTTGAAATGCAATTAATAAACCACCACTTCCCCAAAGCGATTGGCGGAACTGTCACTGCCAACTGTCAAAAATTGTATATGAACTGTCAAACGTCAAATGTCAAATGTCAGCGAGCGAAATACAGAGCATTTTATCTATTTAATAATAATAATCATTTTTCCATCACTGATTCGATATACAAAGCAATTATTAATGAGTTATTTATTTACAAAAATTCCACGATTAACGAATTAAATTAAGGGTAATTAATTTGTTAATTAATCAATTAGTTAATTACGCATTCGAGTCCGTTTTTTTTTTCAACAATTTGTTACATTTTACATTGATATTACAATAATATATTCGGAAATCACATAAGCTTTTTTTTTTCATCTTTTCGGCCTATTTACACAAAGCAAATAACAATATTTTCAAAATGGGAATACGAAAATTCAAACAACGTTTTTCGGTTTATACAGGGTGGCCCGTTTAAGAGGAAACAGTGTAGAAAAAATTAATTTTTTTTTGAAAAATCAAAATTAATTTTGACGTATAAACGTGTTTTTCGAATTTTGTATAAGTAGTGTAATATATCGTTGGAAAGGTTATTTTTTCCTGAAAAACACCAAAAAAAAATTACTAAAATCGGTCGATGCGTTATCGAAATATTTACCTTTAAAGGTGAAATTTCTTTCCATTTTCATTTCATCTTCAAGCCAACTAGATGACACGAGGCTATTGTAATTATTTCTGAACGGATTTTGAAATTTTATTAAATTCGAGTATTTTTCTGCCATTTTCTATCAACTAAAATAATTTTTCCAATTTTCCTGCATCAGAAATATTTTTTTGAAACGTTAGAAATAAATTAAGAGACATTTGTACCTTTAAAGTTGAATATTTCGAAAACGAATCGACGATTTTAATAATTTTTTTTTGTAAAATTCGGAAAAAAAATTACCTTTCTAACGATGTATCATACAACCCTATTCAATTTTGAAAGGGCCACCTCTTGTATACCGGGTCTCCCAAAAAGGGGTGCTGGTTTTTTCTGCAACTTTTCGAGCCTCTCCGTAGTTTTGGGGTCGGATTTAAAGGCAAAATTAAAGTCAAAAAAACGGGGGGGTTAATTTTCCCTAATTCGGAAACCCTCCGAATTAGCAATATTATTAGGGAAGGGCAAATATGCAAACTGAATTTTTTGTTCCATATTTGGCATATATTTTATGCATTTTAGGCTAATTCTGAACATAATCGTTTAAAAACATGAAAGGAATGGGAAAAATTGGAGAGTATGGAAAAGCCAGAAAAAAGTGGAAAAAAACATTAAAAAAAATGAAAAACATGTCAAAAGAGAAAAAACGTGAAAAAAGTGGAAAAAACCATGAAAAAAGTGGAAAAAACATTGAAAAACACATTTGCCCTTCTCTAAATATATTAAGCTAATATAGTAGGCTGGGTATTACGCAATCTGTCATTTCGCGATGAAGCTAATCACAAGAAAATGACCGATCGACGATACAATTTATCATCGTTTTTATTCATTCATTTGATTAACTTAACCTAACTTAATCCCCAAAAAACGGAAGAAAACCCCTAGAATTAACAAATACTATACCCGAATGTATAGTAGGCTGGGTATTACACGCAACGCAACCCCCCCCCCCCCCCCCCAAAAAAAAAAACAGAGGGGAAACCGTCAAATTGTTAATATCATACTAATAGAGTAGGCTGGGTATTACGCAATCCGCCATTTCGCGATGTAGCTAATCACAACAAAATGGCCGACCAAACCAATCCATAATCAACAAACTTAACCGATGATTAACTACACCCCAAAAAAATCTTTACAAACCCCCCAAAAAAAAGGATGGGAGACCCCCAAAATTAGCAATATTAATAAATACTAATAGCGTAGGCTGTGTATTACGTAATCCGCCATTTCGCGATGTAGCTAATCACAACAAAATGGCCGACCAAACCAATCCATAATCAACAAACTTAACCGATGATTAACTACACCCCAAAAAAATCTTTACAAACCCCCCAAAAAAAAGGATGGGAGACCCCCAAAATTAGCAATATTAATAAATACTAATAGCGTAGGCTGTGTATTACGTAATCCGCCATTTCGCGATGTAGCTAATCACAACAAAATGGCCGACCAAACCAATCCATAATCAACAAACTTAACCGATGATTAACTACACCCCAAAAAACCTTTACAAACCCCCCAAACAAACGGAGGGGAGACCCCCAAAATTAGCAATATTAATAAATACTAATATAGTAGGCTGGGTATAACGCAATCCGCCATTTCGCGATGTAGCTAATCACAACAAAATGGCCGACCAAACCAATCCATAAGCAACGAATTTAACCGATGATTAACTACACCCAAAAAAAACCTTTACAAACCCCCCCAAAAAAACGGAGAGAGGAAAAAAACCCCCCGAAAAGTAATAATATCAATAAATATCATAAATACTAATAGAGTAGGCTGGGTATTACGCAATCCGCCATTTCGCGATGTAGCTAATCACAACAAAATGGCCGACCAAACCAATCCCTAAGCAACGAATTTAACCGATGATTAACTACACCCCAAAAAAAACCTTTACAAACCCCCAAAAAAAAACGGAGAGAGGAAAAAACCCCCCAAAAATTAGCAATATCAATAAATATCATAAATACTAATAGAGTAGGCTGTGTATTACGCAATCCGCCATTTCGCGATGTAGCTAATCACAACAAAATGGCCGACCAAACCAATCCCTAAGCAACGAATTTAACCGATGATTAACTACACCCCAAAAAAAAAACCTTTACAAACGCCCCAAAAAAACGGAGAGGGGAAAAAACCCCCCGAAAATTAGCAATATCAATAAATATCATAAATACTAATAGAGTAGGCTGGGTATTACGCAATCCGCCATTTCGCGATGTAGCTAATCACAACAAAATGGCCGACCAAACCAATCCATAAGCAACGAATTTAACCGATGATTAACTACACCCCAAAAAAAACCTTTACAAACCCCCCCAAAAAAACGGAGAGGGAAAAAAAAACCCAAAAATTAGCAATATCAATAAATATCATAAATACTAATATAGTAGGCTGGATATAACGCAATCCGCCATTTCGCGATGTAGCTAATCACAACAAAATGGCCGACCAAACCAATCCCTAAGCAACGAATTTAACCGATGATTAACTACACCCCAAAAAAAAACCTTTACAAACGCCCCAAAAAAACGGAGAGGGGAAAAAACCCCCCAAAAATTAGCAATATCAATAAATATCATAAATACTAATAGAGTAGGCTGTGTATTACGCAATCCGCCATTTCGCGATGTAGCTAATCACAACAAAATGGCCGACCAAACCAATCCCTAAGCAACGAATTTAACCGATGATTAACTACACCCCAAAAAAAAAACCTTTACAAACGCCCCAAAAAAACGGAGAGGGGAAAAAACCCCCCGAAAATTAGCAATATCAATAAATATCATAAATACTAATAGAGTAGGCTGGGTATTACGCAATCCGCCATTTCGCGATGTAGCTAATCACAACAAAATGGCCGACCAAACCAATCCCTAAGCAACGAATTTAACCGATGATTAACTACACCCCAAAAAAAACCTTTACAAACCCCCCAAAAAAACGGAGAGAGGAAAAAAACCCCCCGAAAATTAGCAATATCAATAAATATCATAAATACTAATAGAGAGTAGGCTGGGTATAACGCAATCCGCCATTTCGCGATGTAGCTAATCACAACAAAATGGCCGACCAAACCAATCCATAAGCAACGAATTTAACCGATGATTAACTACACCCCAAAAAAAAACCTTTACAAACCCCCCCAAAAAAAACGGAGAGGGGAAAAAACCCCCCGAAAATTAGCAATATCAATAAATATCATAAATACTAATAGAGTAGGCTGGGTATTACGCAATCCGCCATTTCGCGATGTAGCTAATCACAACAAAATGGCCGACCAAACCAATCCCTAAGCAACGAATTTAACCGATGATTAACTACACCCAAAAAATACCTTTACAAACCCCCCCAAAAAAAACGGAGAGGGGAAAAAAACCCCCCGAAAATTAGCAATATCAATAAATATCATAAATACTAATAGAGTAGGCTGTGTATTACGCAATCCGCCATTTCGCGATGTAGCTAATCACAACAAAATGGCCGACCAAACCAATCCCTAAGCAACGAATTTAACCGATAATTAACTACACCCCAAAAAAAAAACCTTTACAAACCCCCCCAAAAAAACGGAGAGAGGAAAAAAACCCCCCGAAAATTAGCAATATCAATAAATATCATAAATACTAATAGAGTAGGCTGGATATAACGCAATCCGCCATTTCGCGATGTAGCTAATCACAACAAAATGGCCGACCAAACCAATCCCTAAGCAACGAATTTAACCGATAATTAACTACACCCCAAAAAAAAAAACCTTTACAAACCCCCCAAAAAAACGGAGAGGGGAAAAAAACCCCCCGAAAATTAGCAATATCAATAAATATCATAAATACTAATAGAGTAGGCTGGGTATTACGCAATCGAGCTGCCCGACATCGTCGTGATGCACTTTTTCTCGCACGTTTCGGCGTTCTCCGAGCTCGATCGAACGGCCGCCTTCGGCGCGTTCGGCGTCCCGACGCCGACGCCGTCCGGCGTGCCGGCGCCCGTCTCCGTGTTGTTGTTCGTCGAGGCGCGTCGCGACGCCTCCCTCATGGCGGCGCCGGTGCTGCGCACGTCGAACACGCTGCACTCGCTCTCCAGGTCGCTCGTCTCCAATTGCATCACGTTCAACTAAAATGGAATGGCGAATAGCAAAAAAAAAAAATTACAAATGTACGGGGTGTCCCGAGTAGGCCATTTTTCATAAGGAATGGTCGACGGTTTAATCGTGGGTTCGGGTTGGAAAAGGTCGTGAGAAAGGTTGTGGGAAAGGTTGACGAGAAAGATTGTGAGGAAGGTTGTGAGAAAGGTTGTGAGGAAGGTTGTGAGAAAGGTTGTGAGGAAGGTTGTGAGGAAGGTTGGGAGAAAGGTGGTGAGAAAGGTTGTGAGAAAGGTTGTGAGAAAGGTTGTGAGAAAGGTTGTGAGAAAGGTTGTGAGAAAGGTTGTGAGAAAGCTTGGGAAAAAGGTGGTGAGAAAGGTTGGGAGAAAGGTTGTGAGGAAGGTTGTGGGAAAGGTTGACGAGAAAGATTGTGAGGAAGGTTGTGAGAAAGGTTGTGAGGAAGGTTGTGAGAAAGGTTGTGAGGAAGGTTGGGAGAAAGGTGGTGAGAAAGGTTGTGAGAAAGGTTGTGAGAAAGGTTGTGAGAAAGGTTGTGAGAAAGGTTGTGAGGAAGGTTGTGAGAAAGGTTGTGAGAAAGGTTGGGAGAAAGGTGGTGAGAAAGGTTGTGAGAAAGGTTGTGAGAAAGGTTGTGAGAAAGGTTGTGAGAAAGATCGTGAAAAAAGTTGTGAGAAATATCGTGAGAAAGGTGGTGAGAAAGGTGGTGAGAAAGGTGGTGAGAAAGGTTGTGAGAAATGTTGGGAGAAATGTTGTGAGAAAGGTAGAAAATGTTGAATATTTTTATTAAAATTTTGTTCCTTATAAACCTCCCTGTTGTCCCTACTCTGACAAAATGGGCTAAACACAAAATAGCCCAAAGACAAAATAGATTAAATACGGCCATTTTGTCGGAGTGCCTGTGAGTGTTTCATAAGGAATTGTCCATATTCTAATCAAAATATTCACAATTTTTACTACTCTCAATCATTCTCAACATTTCTCGACCTATCTCGACCTTTCTCGACCTTTCTCGACCTTTCTCGACCTTTCTCGACCTTTCTCAACCTTTCTCAACCTTTCTCAACCTTTCTCAACCTTTCTCAACCTTTCTCGACCTTTCTCGACCTTTCTCGACCTTTCTCGACCTTTCTCAACCTTTCTCAACCTTTCTCAACCTTTCTCAACCTTTCTCAACCTTTCTCAACCTTTCTCAACCTTTCTCAACCTTTCTCAACCTTTCTCAGCCTTTCTCAGCCTTTCTCAACCTTTCTCAACCTTTCTCAGCCTTTCTCAACCTTTCTCAACCTTTCTCAACCTTTCTCAACTTTATCAACCTTTATCAACCTTTATCAACCTTTCTCAACCTTTATCATCCTTTCTCAACCTTTCCCAACCTTTCGACCTTCCTCGTCAACCTTTCTCATTAACCATAAATCATTCTCATCTGCCTTTCTCATCAACCACAAACCATTCTCATCTACCTTTCTCATCGACCTTTCTCATCAACCTTTGTCATCAACCATTAACGTCTCTCATCACCATCAACATTTCTCATCAACCTAGCTCATCTACTTTTCTCGTCAACCTTTTCCATCGACCTTTCTCATCTCAACGTTCTCGCTAAAAGAATGGATTTCTTCGTTTAGACGTAATTATTACCGACCTGTCGAGTGTTGAGGAACAATTCGCTGGAATCGGAACCGCAGCTGGAGCTCTCGCTCAATTCCGTGGTGAATTTCCGTTGGGCGCGCGGGCTCGGCGGCGGCCTCCTGGTGCACACTTGGGCCTGGATGTGTTCGCACACCCTCCGGAACCTCCTTATGTTGCCTACGGATCGATCGAGAACCGCGTGAGAAGGGTTAAATGTTGGGTTTTTGGAGGGTTTTTTTGAAGAGAGAAGAGATGGGTTATTTTTAGACTAGTTTGATGTAGAAGAGTTAGATTTATGAGGACTATTTTAGAAAATTGAACCAAGAGTAGTTAGGATTAAAAAGGGTTATTTCAGACGTAGAATAGTTACATTTAGAAAGGGTTATTTCAATACGAATTAGATGTAGAAGAGTAGGGTTATTTCAAGATGAATTAGACGTAGAAAAGTTAGGATTAGAAAGGGTTATTTCGGACGTTGAATAGTTAGATTTAGAAGGGTTATTTCAGAAGAATTAGACGTAGAATAGTTAGGATTTGAAAGGGTTATTTTGGACGTAGAATAGTTAGATTTAGAAGGGTTATTTCAGAAGAATTAGACGTAGAAAAGTTAGGATTGTCGGAGGTTGAATAGTTAGATTTAGAAGGGTTATTTCAAGAATAATTGGACGTAGAATAGTTAGGATTTGAAAGGGTTATTTTGGACGTAGAATAGTTAGATTTAGAAGGGTTATTTCAGAAGAATTAGACGTAGAAAAGTTACGATTGTCGGACGTTGAATAGTTAGATTTAGAAGGGTTATTTCAAGAATAATTGGACGTAGAATAGTTAGGATTTGAAAGGGTTATTTTGGACGTAAAATAGTTAGATTTAGAAGGGTTATTTCAGAAGTATTAGACGTAGAATAGTTAGATTTGAAAGGGTTATTTCAGAAGAATTAGACGTAGAAAAGTTAGGATTAGAAAGGGTTATTTCGGACGTTGAATAGTTAGATTTAGAAGGGTTATTTCAGAAGAATTAGACGTAGAAAAGTTAGGATTAGAAAGGGTTATTTCGGACGTTGACTGGTTAGATTTAGAAATGTTATTTTAGAAGGATTGGACGTAGAATAGTTAGGATTAAAAGGGTTATTTCAGATGTAGAATAGTTAGATTTAGAAGGGTTATTTCAGAAGAATTAGACGTGGAATAGTAGAAAGGGTTATTTCGGACGTTGAATAGTTAGATTTATAATGGTTGAAGGGGTTATTTCAAATGTACAATAGTTAGATTTAGAAAGATTATTTCACGAATATTTGGACGTTGAATAGTTAGGATTTGAAAGGGTTATTTCAGACGTAGAATAGTTAAATTTAGAAGAGTTCTTACCAGACGACATAGACGTAGAAGAGTAGTTAGAATTGAAAGAGTTATTTCATGACGAATTAGACGTAGATTAGTTAGATTACAAGTGGGTTATTTCATACGTAGAATAGTTAGATTTAAAAAGGTTCTTTCAAACGTAAAATAGTTAGATTTAGAAGGATTATTTCAAGACGAATTAGACGTAGAATAGTTATAGTTAAAATTAGTAGGATCATTTCTACATATAAGGTCAATTTACCTGAAAGCAGGGTAAACGTGATGGCGAATATGTGCTCCTTGGTATTGTCCCTGGATTGCTTGATGATCGGCGAAATGTCCACTTGGAATCTGACGTGGCGTTGAAACATCGCCGGCCCCGTCATGCCTCTCTTGTACTCCACCCGGAAGGACATTGGACTCGACACCGAATGACTCAGCTCCGCTATCTAGATCCGAAGAACACAAAAAATTGTACTCTCAGAAATTCATTGGGAAAGGTTGAGAAAGGTTGAGAAAGGTTGAGAAAGGTTGAGAAAGGTTGAGAAAGGTTGAGAAAGGTTGAGAAAGGTTGAGAAAGGTTGAGAAAGGTTGAGAAAGGTTGAGAAAGGTTGAGAAAGGTTGAGAAAGGTTGAGAAAGGTTGAGAAAGGTTGAGAAAGGTTGAGAAAGGTTGAGAAAGGTTGAGAAAGGTTGAGAAAGGTTGAGGAAAGTTGAAAATGTTGAATATTTTGAATATTTTGAGTTAATCATAGGTAGGAAAGGTTTCTTATATTTCTTAGGTTTTTTAGGTTTCTTGGGAGTCTTGGGTTTCTTAGGTGTCTTGGGTTTTTTGGGTTTTTTGGGTTCCCTTTATAATACGAGAGACCTACCCTACTCGACTCTAACCTACCCTACTCGTATTTCGCAGTTTCCCGGATAAACCCGTAGTCGTTTGTTTAACTCTATCTTACCCTGCAATTACCATACCCTACCCTACAATTACCTTACCCTAACCTACCCTACGTTTTCTGTAGTTCTTAGTTTACCAGAATAAACCTAGTTTTAATTATCTAATTAGGTAGAGTTTTATCTAACTCTACCCTACCCTACAACCTACAATTGCCCTACCCTACAACTACCCCACCCTAACCTACCCTACCCTACCTTTCCTGTATTTCACAGTTTACCACGATAAACCTAGTTTCAGTCGTTTATCTAACTCTACCCTACTCTACAATTGCCATACCCTTCTTGTATTTCCCAGTTTACCAGAAGAAACCTAGTTTTCGTCGTTTATCTAATTCTACCCTACCCTACAACCTACAATTGCCCTACCCTACAAATACCCCACCCTAACCTACCCTACCCTACCTTTCCTGTATTTCACAGTTTACCACGATAAACCTAGTTTTAGTCGTTTATCAAACTCTATCTTACTCTACAACCTACAATTGCCCTACCCTACCCGTAACATTATATATACAGACAAAAAAGAAAAAAAACCGGAAAACCCAGCCTTACCGATAGAAACGCGTGTATCAAATCGGCCTTGACCGTCGCCAGCGGCTTCCCCTTCACCAATATGGTGAACGTTTCGTCCTTCTCGGTCGCCATCAGGCTACCGAACCAGCTCTTCTTGGTCAATTCGGGCGACGATTCGGGCGTCAGGTGCACCTCCTCCGACGACGCCTGCAACTTGTTGCGCCTGTGGAACCTCGGCGAACCCAAGAAGCTGTTCTTGATGGTGGTGAGCCTCGAGCGCCAATGGTGACCGGCGGCGGCGGCGCCGGCGCCGGCCATCGGCGAGCCCGGCGGCGTCAGGACGGCGGCGTCGCGTTCGGGCGACGTCATGAGCGAGGAGAGAACGGAGGCGCCGCTGCTGTTGGCGCGATGGTGGGTGGGCGTCGCCGGGGTGGGGGCGGCGTTGGAGGCGGGCGGAGGCGGGGCCGGCGGCGTGACGGTCACGTGGGCGTTGGAGGCGGCGTGAGAGGGGGCGCGGTGGGCGTGGTGGTGGCTGGACGAGCGTTGGTTCACCGGAGACGAGGTACCTGCTGTAGCAAACGGGAATTGTACTGTATTGCCTTTTGGACACTTGATGGTGGTAACCGGTGTGAAGTTAGCAAACCAGAGTTAGCAAACCGTTCGCCGAAAACAGCCGAACGGTTAGATCAGTGGCGTGCCGATATACTAAAATTATTTGAAATAAATGCAAATAATATAGAGTGTAGTATTAGCATAAGGGTATTATATAAGGTTATTAACCACCATTCAAATGGAAAATTACTTTGTAAAACTTTAAGGGGTAAATAACAGCCCCCTAAATTCTTTAAAATTTAGTTAACAATAAAGGAAATGAGGGTCCTTCTTAGAATTCGGCATACATAAACTACATAAGGTTATTAACCAACATTCCAAAGGAAAACGACTTTGGAAAACTTTAAGGGGTAAATAACAGCCCCTTAAGAATTTGAAAATTTATTTGACAGTGAAGGAAATGAGGGTCCTTCCTTAAATTCGGCATACATAAACTACATAAGGTTATTAACCAACATTCCAAAGGAAAACGACTTTGGAAAACTTTAAGGGGTAAATAACAGCCCCTTAAGAATTTGAAAATTTATTTGACAGTGAAGGAAATGAGGGTCCTTCCTTAAATTCGGCATACATAAACTACATAAGGTTATTAACCAACATTCCAAAGGAAAACGACTTTGGAAAACTTTAAGGGGTAAATAACAGCCCCTTAAGAATTTGAAAATTTATTTGACAGTGAAGGAAATGAGGGTCCTTCCTTAAATTCGGCATACATAAACTACATAAGGTTATTAATCAACATTCCAAAGGAAAATGACTTTGGAAAACCTTAAGGGGTAAATAACAGCCCCTTAAGAATTTGAAAATTTATTTGACAGTGAAGGAAATGAGGGTCCTTCCTCAAATTCAGCATACATAAACTACATAAGGTTATTAACCAACATTCCAAAGGAAAATGACTTTGGAAAACTTTAAGGGGTAAATAACAGCCCCTTAAAAATTATAAAAATTATTTGGCAGTGAAGGAAATGAGGGTCCTTCCTCAAATTCAGCATACATAAACTACATAAGGTTATTAACCAACATTCCAAAGGAAAACGACTTTGGAAAACTTTAAAGGGTAAATAACAGCCCCTTAAGAATTTGAAAATTTATTTGACAGTGAAGGAAATGAGGGTCCTTCCTTAAATTCGGCATACATAAACTACATAAGGTTATTAACCAACATTCCAAAGGAAAACGACTTTGGAAAACTTTAAGGGGTAAATAACAGCCCCTTAAGAATTTGAAAATTTATTTGACAGTGAAGGAAATGAGGGTCCTTCCTTAAATTCGGCATACATAAACTACATAAGGTTATTAACCAACATTCCAAAGGAAAACGACTTTGGAAAACTTTAAGGGGTAAATAACAGCCCCTTAAGAATTTGAAAATTTATTTGACAGTGAAGGAAATGAGGGTCCTTTCTCAAATTCAGCATACATAAACTACATAAGGTTATTAACCAACATTCCAAAGGAAAACGACTTTGGAAAGCTTTAAGGGGTAAATAACAGCCCCTTAAGAATTTGAAAATTTATTTGACAGTGAAGGAAATGAGGGTCCTTCCTTAAATTCGGCATACATAAACTACATAAGGTTATTAACCAACATTCCAAAGGAAAACGACTTTGGAAAGCTTTAAGGGGTAAATAACAGCCCCTTAAGAATTTGAAAATTTATTTGACAGTGAAGGAAATGAGGGTCCTTCCTTAAATTCGACATACATAAACTACATAAGGTTATTAATCAACATTCCAAAGGAAAACGACTTTGGAAAACTTTAAGGGGTAAATAACAGCCCCTTAAGAATTTGAATATTTATTTGACAGTGAAGGAAATGAGGGTCCTTCCTCAAATTCAGCATACATAAACTACATAAGGTTATTAACCAACATTCCAAAGGAAAACGACTTTGGAAAGCTTTAAGGGGTAAATAACAGCCCCTTAAGAATTTGAAAATTTATTTGACAGTGAAGGAAATGAGGGTCCTTCCTTAAATTCGGCATACATAAACTACATAAGGTTATTAACCAACATTCCAAAGGAAAACGACTTTGGAAAACTTTAAGGGGTAAATAACAGCCCCTTAAGAATTTGAAAATTTATTTGACAGTGAAGGAAATGAGGGTCCTTCCTTAAATTCGGCATACATAAACTACATAAGGTTATTAATCAACATTCCAAAGGAAAATGACTTTGGAAAACTTTAAGGGGTAAATAACAGCCCCTTAAAAATTATAAAATTTATTTGACAGTGAAGGAAATGAGGGTCCTTCCTCAAATTCAGCATACATAAACTACATAAGGTTATTAACCAACATTCCAAAGGAAAACGACTTTGGAAAACTTTAAGGGGTAAATAACAGCCCCTTAAAAATTATAAAAATTATTTGGCAGTGAAGGAAATGAGGGTCCTTCCTCAAATTTAGCAAACATTAGTTAAAATAAATTATGTGTAGTTCAATCTGCACAGGTCACACATATTGTTGACGGTTTTTTCATCTATTTTTCTTTTCTCTTCAATTTCCTTGACTGTTAATAAACACTTCTGATGAAATCCTCTTTTACACATTTTGCAATAAAATACATATTGGTCCGTTAATTCACGTTGACAAAACATACATATTTTTTTAATATTTGAACTATTTTTGAGTAATAGCCATTTTAAATTTTGTCTATATTCGATCATATCAACTGGTATCATCAAATCTTTACACATTGATAAGTTTTCAAAGAAGTAAATTAAATAAGCTCCACAATTATAATTATCAACCTGAAGAATATGTTTCACTGTATGAAGAGAAAATGTTATTGGAATTTCTTTTAACTTGAAAAAATGTGTTATATATTTGAAATATATTCGTTTCATCAATAATTCGTTCCCAAGAGGGTCAATCAGTAAAATATTCTTCTTTGAAAATGAAACAATTATTAAAACATAGTGATTGTGTTTTAAAATAGGAAAAACTATTAAATCTTTACTAAGTATAATGCTATCCAAAAAGGCTTTTGAGAGCTGCTCTTCTTGAAAAATTATTGATGATTTAGCTACAGATATAATTTGATATTTACTTCCATTGTTTTTATTAATTATATGTAGTACATGGTCAATAATGAAATTAGATATATATTGTTTATTATCAAGTGTTAAAAAGTCATTGATTAATATTGCCCCAAAACTAAAATCTAAGTCATTACTTGAGGACACTACATATCCTCTACCATTTGGTAGTTCTTTGTAATAAGAAATATTCGAAACTAAGCCATTTTCGAAAAGCTCTATTTTATCAACAATCGTAGATTTTTTTAGAGATAAAGGGGAGAGATTTTCGTCGATATTCAAATTTTTATGAAATGTACTGGTAGATAATTTACACAATTTACAATGAAATATATCACCATAATCATCGTTTTCTGTATCACAGTTTTGATGAATCCAGTGATTACACAAATCACACTGTACCCAAGCTGTTGTAACATCTTGTGTACCATAGCCACAGTACAAACAAATTGTTAATTCTTCATCATCTTCGGCAAAGATCAAATTGTCTAAATTTGAATTTGGGTCAGCATTATCTTCAAAGTTTGGGTTATTATTATTTTTAATATTAAGGTATTTACCAGTAAAATGTGTGGAGCTTTGTTTTATTCTCCTTTGCCAAAATTCTTGGGATAACTTCTCATCGGTTGGATCGACAATTATTTTGGTTAAATTAGTTTTCCTTAAATTCAAATTACATTCATTATGAAGAGCAATAACGTCTTGCCTATGCTTTCTAACAAAATGCGAACATTTTAAATTCCTTTTTCCTTCTAATGTATGTTTTTTGACTTGACCGAAATAATTTTCAACGATAGCGTTGCTTACTCTTCCTTCTTTTAATAATAAGCAACTCCACAATGGGCAAAAAGGAAGATATTTTTTTAGGATAGTGTTAAACATTTGAGGATTAAAGTAAATGTTAATATCTAAACCGCTCTTTTTTATATTGATTTTATTACACAATGAATCGAAATGCTTATAAAAAGGACTGCTTTTATAGAGAACGCCGTTTTCCGTACAATTTTCATCAAGTACTCGTAATTCATTTTCAGACACTTCTTCAGTAGGTGTTTCCATGTTCATAAAACCGAAAAAAGATTTACAATTTTTAACTTCACTGGTATCGTAAGGAGAATTCATCAAAACGAAACAGTTTGCCACAAACTCGTCCAAAAAATTAATTTGATCACACAAAACTGCAGCAGCAATTAAATTTTTAAAATAATGCTTTTGATCTTTATTTTTTGAAGTATTATCTACATCGTTGCTTACCATTTTCAAAAAATGAGCACAACAAAGGAATATTCCGATATACTGTATACTTTTCTCTTTTTCACAAACGGTTACATAACACTTTTCTAAATATTCTAATAGTGTACATCGATTAAAAGCTTTACACATAGCATGAAGATTAGCAAATGAGAAATCAGTCACAATACCAGAAAACGAGGGCCAAAAGGAATTAACTTCGCAAAAGTAACGGAAATCATGTAACAATTTAAAAATTGTATTTGAATCATGATTTGCTGAGATCATTGAGAATACAGGAAATATTCTTTTAGATTTTGAAATGCCTATAACACCTGCATAAAAGTATATTCTTTTTTTATTGAATACTTGAGGATTTCTAACCACACCTCCAGTTGCATCAAAATGTATAATTGGTAATTTAGAACCAACAACTTGTGATTTTAGAACATTAAGTTGTTCTAAACTATACAATTTTACATTAAATGGCGCACAAACTTCTTTAATGTATTCAGGGTGGGCAATATGCATCAAAGTAATATCATAAAAATCATCCTGACTCCGATCCAAATCTACATTTACTTCGGTTTTAATTTTTTTAATTGTACAATCTGATTTAATAGACTGCAAATTTTTTGTTTCAGCTATAATGCGGCTACTTTTGTTTACTTGGAACAAACATTTTTTTTTATATTGAAAAGCAGAAATTGACATTAGTTTAGATTTTAATAAATTTCTTTCAACTCCTCGTACAGGAAGTGTTAAATAATTTTGATGACAAAAATCTAGTGAGGTGCTATAAACGCTTAATTTACACTTTTTGATATTTATTTTAAATTTTTTACATCCAGGGTGCTTGCAAATGGCAAATAAATTAATTTGTTCACTTTTTTTTAAATACTTTGTGCATTTAAATATTAACAAGCAACTGTTATTTATGAATTTATTAATTCTATTGCGTATGAAGTACGGATAAAATTTTGTATTCAATTTACCATTTTTATATAAAATTTTCCAGATATTTTCTTTAATCGCAAAGGAACCCTCAAAATATTTGTATTCGGTTTTGTTATTATTACAAGCGAGCGGTACATTTTTAGAATTCACAGGAAGTACAGATGTATTTGACTTATCTAATGACAAATTTAACAATTCCTTGGGTATATTGATATTTTCAGGAGTTATATCAAACGCTGAACTAATATTTTCAACCTTAGGAGAATTTTCAATATCTTCAATATTCTCTAAGTTCGTTACTTCTAAATTCAAATTAACATCAGAGGGACAATTAGCATTCATTTCAATCGCAGGAGTTGGTATAGCTTGTGATTGTGAATTAATATTCGCAATACCCAAACTTTTCCATGCTTTATAGATCTTACGTCGGTTTTGCAATGAATTAAACACTCTTAATTCTTTACATATTTTGGGATAAATTACTTTGTCGGACTTATACGTTTTGCATATAGAAGCAGCATTTATATTTAGTGCGCATAAAGCAGTTGTTAGACTTTTTCCTGATATATCTGAAATTTTATTTTTTGCGACCATATAGTTGTTTTTGTAATAATTTTGAAAAGTTTTGCTAATGAAAATGTTTTCTACAGCACTTCGATATTGATATTTAGTACCACGAAGTTTTGATATCATAACATCCATAACATGACTGTCTATGGGGACCTTAAAATCATATTCGGGGTAATTTTCCCTTAAAATATTAACTAAAATATCAAAAACTTTAGTTTTAGAAATAAAATTCTTTCTCATAATGAAAACGTTAATAAAAATGTCAAAATAATAACAAAAACTCTTTAGAACTAGACTAAAATCACTAAGCCAACTAAAACTAAGAATAATATGTACCTAGGTATGTTTGTATGTATATACATACAATGTACATATGATGTTAAAGCGTATTCGATTGCATAAATCCTATACAATGTACGAAATTGAAACGAAGAAAAGAAACAAAAAACCACGTAAAAACACGTAAAAAAACACACAATTAACACAGTAACACAATGACTCAATTATTATCGAATCCAAACAATAAACGAAGTAACTTTTAGAAATTTCAAATGTTTCTTATTCCTAACAGTAACGAATTAAACGAATAAAAAAGAAGCAAAAATAAGCAAAAAAACCAAACAAACTTCACTAGTGCAATGTTAGAACGTCTCTCTGCAATACAAATTGAAATCACAATTTATTAGAAACACAGTCCGAACAGTCGATGTTACACACTCATTTTTGGTTTATGCTCGCAACCCCGGCTAATATGGCAACGGCGTAAATTCCTGCTGAGACAGGATATACCAGGGTGGGGAAATTCGGAGATTGAGTGATTGAGAGATTCTAATGCAACAGCTCATCCGTGACGCACGCACTATAGCCTGTTTTCTTTTTATTTATATATTTTCCTGTTTTTCATTTATTCTACTATTTAAAAATAATAATTTCAAGAGTTTTCTGTGGCAACGACTATCTTAACGTACAAACAATTGGCCTTAAGTGGTATATACACGTAAATTACGTAAAAGTCAAGAATAAAATCTATTTAACAGTCAAATAACAGTCTTACAAGTATAAATATGTACAGTAACCGAAATAATGAATTTATTCCATTTTGCGTATCCACCCTGTATATTCAACCCATTGGACCCATAGTTAATGTGGTAATTTCTATAATACACATTACACATTATATGATTATAGGTACTATTATTTCCTAGGTACATACAGAGTGTCTATGTTCGAGCGCTGCAAACAGTAGAAAGAGAGAATCAGTCGAACTGTGTAAAGGCGCGGCTTAGATTTTAGTTTTGGGGCAATATAAATCAATGACTTTTTAACACTTGATAATAAACAATATATATCTAATTTTATTATTGACCACGTACTACATATAATTAATAAAAACAATGGAAGTAAATAGTTGGTTAATAACCATATGTAGTGTATGTATACCGAATTTGAGGAAGGACCCTCATTTCCTTCACTGTCAAATAAATTTTATAATTTTTAAGGGGCTGTTATTTAACCCTTAAAGTTTTCCAAAGTCATTTTCCTTTGGAACGTTGGTTAATAACCTTATGTAGTTTATGTATGCTTCATTTAAGGAAGGACCCTCATTTCCTTCACTGTCAAATAAATTTAATAATTTTTAAGGGGCTGTTATTTACCCCTTAAAGTTTTCCAAAGTCATTTTCCTTTGGAACGTTGGTTAATAACCTTATGTAGTTTATGTATCCTTCATTTAAGGAAGGACCCTCATTTCCTTCACTGTCAAATAAATTTAATAATTTTTAAGGGGCTGTTATTTACCCCTTAAAGTTTTCCAAAGTCATTTTCCTTTGGAACGTTGGTTAATAAACTTATGTAGTTTATGTATCCTTCATTTAAGGAAGGACCCTCATTTCCTTCACTGTCAAATAAATTTAATAATTTTTAAGGGGCTGTTATTTACCCCTTAAAGTTTTCCAAAGTCATTTTCCTTTGGAACGTTGGTTAATAACCTTATGTAGTTTATGTATGCTTCATTTAAGGAAGGACCCTCATTTCCTTCACTGTCAAATAAATTTAATAATTTTTAAGGGGCTGTTATTTACCCCTTAAAGTTTTCCAAAGTCATTTTCCTTTGGAACGTTGGTTAATAACCTTATGTAGTTTATGTATCCTTCATTTAAGGAAGGACCCTCATTTCCTTCACTGTCAAATAAATTTAATAATTTTTAAGGGGCTGTTATTTACCCCTTAAAGTTTTCCAAAGTCATTTTCCTTTGGAACGTTGGTTAATAAACTTATGTAGTTTATGTATCCTTCATTTAAGGAAGGACCCTCATTTCCTTCACTGTCAAATAAATTTAATAATTTTTAAGGGGCTGTTATTTACCCCTTAAAGTTTTCCAAAGTCATTTTCCTTTGGAACGTTGGTTAATAACCTTATGTAGTTTATGTATGCTTCATTTAAGGAAGGACCCTCATTTCCTTCACTGTCAAATAAATTTTATAATTTTTAAGGGGCTGTTATTTACCCCTTAAAGTTTTCCAAAGTCATTTTCATTTGGAATGCTGGTTAATAGCCTTATATAGTTAATGTTTGCCGAATTTGAGGATGGACCCTCATTTCCTTTATTGTTAACTAAATTTTAAAGTATTTAGGGGGCTGTTATTTACCCCTTAAAGTTTTACAAAGTAATTTTCAATTTGAATGGTGGTTAATAACCTTATATAATACCCTTATGCTGATACTACACTCTATATTATTTGAATTTATTTCAAATAATTTTAGTATATCGGCACGCCACTGATCTAACCGTTCGGCTGTTTTCGGCGAACGGTTTGCTAACTCTGGTTTGCTAACTTCACACCGGTATGGTGGTAGGAGTATTCCAAGGTACTGTTCAAATCTTGGAAAAAATTGCACTGGGTACTGTATTGTACCACTGTTCAAATCTTAAAGAAACCTCTCTGGATACTGTACAGAATATCCAATAGATATTATTGTTACCATAGAAACGACCCAATGCACTGTTCAAATCTTAAAGAAACCTCTTTGAGTATTGTGCAATACATCCAATGAACACTAATCAATCCCTATAAGTACTGTTCAACCTAAATAAATTCTAATGAAACCTAAATGAATCTCAATTTAATGTTCAAATCTTAAAGAAACCTGCAAGGGTTCCGTACAGAACGTCCAATGAACAGTACTCATCAATACTAAAGTACTGTTCAAATCTTAGAAAAACCTCTCTTAATACTATGCATACAGAAGTGTCCTAAAGACACTTAGTGAACCTTAGAAATGGGTCAATACGCTGTTCAAATCTTAAAGAAACCTCTCTGTGTTCTGTACTGTATGTCCAATGAACACTATAGTGGACCTAGGAACGTTCATAGGTATTGTTTAAATCTTAAAGATACCTGCTCTGCCTGGTTACTATACAGTATGTCCAAATGACAATTCCGGTTACCCTAGATATGGATGTTCAAATTTGTACTAACTTATCTTAAAGACAACCCTCTGGAAGAATCTTTTAAAGACTATTAAAGGATCTATAAATGTCTCCTAAATTGTACTACAAATTAATAATAATTGTACTTACAATGGGTATTAGTGGGGGTGACGACGCTATTGAACAAAATTGGACTAGAAGCACCAGAAGACCTGGTGGGCGAATGGATGCTCAAACTGCTATGCGTACTTCCCGTGGAAGGGCTCCTCCTGGCGTGATGTCTTCTACAAAGGAAGAAGAAAAACAATTATATAGTATTGTATAGTATTGTATAGTATTGTATAGTACAATCGTGTAGTACAAAGGTAAGGAAAAGTTCTCTCGGGGCTTTTTGTTTCCGTTTCCATTTAGACGGTTCTAAATGATTCTGGAGCATTCTAAATGATTCTGGTGCGTCATAAATGATTTTAGATAATTCTAAATAGTTCTAGACAGTTTTAAATGTACCTGGTGCGTTCTAAATGATTCTAGACTAATCTTAACTGATTCTGGAACGTCCTAAATGATTCGAGTAGACAGTTTTAAATGAATCTGTAGCGTCCTAAATTATTCTAGCCACTTCTATGTGAATCTGGAGCATTCTACAAGATTCTAGACAATTCTAAATGATTCTGTAGCGTTCTAAATGATTCCAGACAGTTCAAAGGGAATTTGGACTGTTCTAAAGGATTTTGGACAATTCTATACAGTTTTTAGTGAATCTATAGGATACTAAATGATTCTGTACAGTTCTGTACTGTACAGAATCTGTAACATCCTAACAGATTCTAAGCTGTTCTAACCCATTCCGCAACTTTCTAGATACTTCTACACAGTTCTAATTGATTCTGTAGCATTCTAAATAATTCTGGAGCATCCTAAATGATTCTAATCTCTTCTAAGCGAATCTGGATCGTCCTAACTGATTCGCGTTCTGGATACTTCTACACTGTTTTAAGTCAATCCCAAACCGACAAACTTTCCACCCCCTTCCCTCGTATCAGGACCTGTCCCAATAACCAAGATCTGTCCAAAAAAACCAGCACCTGGCCAAAAAACTAGGATCTGTCCAAAAAAACCAGCACCTGGCCAAAAAACTAGGATCTGTCCAAAAAAACCAGCACCTGGCCAAAAAACTAGGATTTGTCCAAAAAACCAGGATCTCTCCAAGAAACCAGGACTCAACCAGAAAACCAACATCTCCACTCACTTGTAATGCGACCTTAATGATTCTAGATAAGTTATAATTGATTCTAAACAGTTCTAAATGATTCTAGACAATTCTAAATTATTTCGAAGCTTTCTAGATACTTCCACACAGTCCTAAAAAGCTCTCCAACAAGACTAAAACTTTCCACCCTATATACTCTCGTACCAGAACCTGTTCAAAACATTCCAACCAAAAGCCAACATCTCCACTCACTTGTAATGCGACCTTAATGATTCTAGATAAGTTATAATTGATTCTAAACAGTTCTAAATGATTCTAGACAATTCTAAATGATTTCGCAGTTTTCTAGATACTTTCACACAGTCCTAAAACGCTCTCCAACCCGACTAAAACTTTCCACCCTATATACTCTCGTACCAGAACCTGTTCAAAACATTCCAACCAAAAGCCAACATCTCCACTCACTTGTAATGCGACCTTAATGATTCTAGATAAGTTATAATTGATTCTAAACAGTTCTAAATGATTCTAGACAATTCTAAACGATTCTGGATCGTCCTAAATGATTTTAAACAGTTTTAAGTAAATTTGGAGCGTTGCAAACATTTCTAAATAATTCTAAATAATTCTAAATAATTTCTAAAATAATGATTAGACAGTTCTAAGTGAATCTGTAGCACTCTAAATAATTCTAGACAGTTCTAAACGATTGTAGACAATTCTAAATGATTCCGGACCGTTCTAGATACTTCTACACTGTCTTAAGTCAATCCCAAACCGACAAACTTTCCATCGCCTTCCCTCGTATCAGGACCTGTCCCAAAAAACAGGATCTGTCCAAAAACCAGCACCTGTCCAAAAACCCAGCAGCTGTCCAAAAAAACCAGCACCTGTCCAAAAAACCAGGATCTATCCAAGAAACCAGGACCTGTGGCCTGTTTAATATAACTGACAAGTCTAAATGAATTTGGATCATCCTAAATGATTCTAGATAGTTTTAAGTGAATCTGGAGCATTCTAAACACTCCTAAGTGAATCTGGATGGTCCTAAGTCCTAACTAATTCGCGTTCTAGATACTTCTACACTGTATTAAGTCAATCCCAAACCGACAAACTTTCCATCCCCTTCCCTCGTATCAAGACTTGTCCCAGTAACCAGGATCTGTCCAAAAAAAAACAGCACCTGTCCAAAAAACCAGCACCTGACCAAAAAACCAGGACCTGACCAAAAAACCAACACCTGTCCAAAAAACCAGCACCTGACCAAAAAACCAGGACCTGAACAAAAAACCAGGATCTGACCAAAAAACCAGGACCTGACCAAAAAACCAGGACCTGACCAAAAAACCAACAACTGTCCAAAAAACCAGCACCTGTCCAAAAAACCAGCACCTGACCAAAAAACCAACACCTGTCCAAAAAACCAGCACCTGTCCAAAAAACCAGCACCTGTCCAAAAAACCAGCACCTGTCCAAAAAACCAACACCTGTCCAAAAAATTCTTAAAAAAAAAAACCCAACTTTCTCCACTCACTTGTAATGCGACCTTCTCGGCGTCAACGGCGATCCCTCGCTGATCTGGCCGAACAGCGAAGCGCTCTGGCCGTTCACCCTGCACGTGTCGATCCTCTTCCGCGGCGGATCGGCCACCTGAACCTCGGGATTTCTGATCCTCGACATCGATTCCAGCTCGTCCTCGCAGGCGGGCCGCCTGCGCTTGCGCTCCAACAGCAGGAAATAGATGACTTTTTCGGTGTTGTGGCTGGGACTGAGCAGGCGTTGGACCAGTTTGTCCTTTTCCTGATTGGACGAATAATTTTGAAAAAAGTTACTATAATGAGTTATACTTTGCTACTGGGTGTGGATGAGGATCAGCAAAATGCCATTTGGTTTAATTAGATGTATTATAGTAACACAAAACATACTAAACGGCCATTATTTTGAGCATAAAACAATTTTTTTTTTGACATTGACGTTGACAGTTACAGACGGGTAATGACGAATTACAAAACTAAAAGTAACTACAAACAAGAATATTTGTTGATATTCTTCTAGCAATACTATCGGATAAACGAGAAGTTAGTCGTAACTTATTGAAATAAGCTTCACTAATAGCAAAAAAGCTATAATAAGGTCCAAATTCGTAGGGTAATTTTCGAGTTTTTTTTTTGTTTACGGTCGCCTTTCGTTTTTTTCGACTGGGAAAAGTACCGAATCCTATGGAAAAGCACACGCTCGATCGGAATATCGACGTTTCGACTCGATAAAGTTACATCTTCGGTGTCGAATGAGCGAAATAAACTTTTTTTTTCGGCTTTTCGCGCTTTTCTCGAATCGAGTTCGTGCAATTCGCTTCAAAATGGTCCAAAAGATTCTCCATCGGTTCTCTCAATTCACGTATATAGCCGTTTTCCAGGGAAAATTCGTTTTGGGAAAATATCGGGGAAAATAGTTTTCGAGGGTTTTCCAAAAATCGAAATAACTCGTAAACGGTAAGATTTACGAACATTTTTCTTGTTTGCACAAAAATTGATAATTCTTTTTTCCATCCAATAAAACATACAGGGTGTTTTTTCGATCAGTACTTTTTGAGTTTTTTCGAAAATACCGTTTTTAAATTGTCCAAGTTTTGTAACGCTATAAATCGAAAACAATCGACGATTACTTGATTAATGAATAAAAAGCGCTACCCAATCATAACAATATGTTAGAAAAACTCACAACATTGATTTTCTTTTACTCCTAAATTTTCAAATTTCTAACTATTCGGAAACTTCTATAAATTCTAATGGACGGTTTCCTTAAAAAGCACTCTTTACTTTTGTTACTATAGCAACAGACCAATCGACGATTACTTGATTAATGAATAAAAAGCGCTACCCAATCGTAACAATATTTTAGAAAAACTCACAACATTGATTTTCTTTTACTCCTAAATTTTCAAATTTCTAACTATTCGGAAACTTCTATAAATTCTAATGGACGGTTTCCTTAAAAAGCACTCTTTACTTTTGTTACTATAGCAACAGACCAATCGACGATTACTTGATTAATGAATAAAAGATTACTTGATTACTTGATTAATAAGTAAAAAACATCCTTTCCTCCCAAATTTTCAGATACTCCACTCTTCAGCAACTCCGAAAATGTTCTGACTTACGACATAATGACTTACCTTGAAGCAGCCTAAGCTGCAGATGGCCTGCAGCACGTCGGGATCTAGGGAGTCCGTGGAAGGGAGGACGTGGGTTTGGACGACCTCCATCATGGGTAGCTCGAGCTCGAGCTCGCCCTTGCCTCCTGCGGTGACCCACGGGTGTTTGTTGATCTCGGTGAGCTGCGGGTGTTGTTGTGTGATTAGAAGATGGTGGGTGAGATTTTGGGGGGGGGTCGTGGTGGTGTGGGAGTTGGTTGGAGTGTTGGAGGGGTTTTGGAGGGGTTTTGGACAGGTTTTGGACTGGTTTTGAACAAGCTTTGGACAAGTTTTGGTCAGGTTTTGAACAATCTTTGTACAAATTTTGTACAATTTTTCGACAAGTTTTGGACAACTTTTGAACTTTGTTGATCTCGGTGAGCTGCGGGTGTTGTTGTGAGATTAGAAGATGGAAGGTAAGATTTGGGGGGAGGTCCTGGTGGTATAGGAGTTGGATGAGTGTTGGAGGTGTTTTGGACATGTTTTGGACATGTTTTGGACAAGTTTTGGACATGTTTTGGACAGGTTTTGGACAAGTTTTGGACAGGTTTTGAACATGATTTGGACAAGTTTTGAAAAAGTTTTGCACAATTTTTGGACAAGTTTTTGGGCAAGTTTTGGATACGGGTTGCTTAAGTGTTGCATCATTTTTGAATATGTATTGGATAAGTCTTGGATAAGGCTTGAAGAAGCATAGGACAAGTCATGGAGAGGTAAGCATTCGTAGGGTGTTCGATAAGTATTGGAGAAACCTTGGACTCTTTGAAACCTTGGTTTCCAAAAGTTTTGGATAGATTTTAAACATGTTTTGGACAAGTTTTGAAGTTTAGGATAAATGTTTCTTAAGAGTCTTGGATAAGCCTTGAAAAAGCCTCGGATAAATCTTGACAAATAAAGGTTAGATGCCTAAAAATGCCTAAAATATGACAAAAAACCTCGTACAAACTTGGAAAAATTCTCATATTTATAAATAATAAGATTAGTATTAAGAATAAGTGTTGGATATACCATGGACAAATCTTGGGATAACAGTGCGAATAAGTGTTGTTTAAGTGTTAATAATTCTTGGATAAACCTTGGATAAACCTTGGATAAACCTTAGATAAACATTGAATAAACCTTGAACAAATCTTGGATAAACCTTGGAGAAACCTTGGACAAATCTTGGATAAACCTTGCATAAACGAGCATTTGAAAAACGTTGGACAACTCTTAGATAAGTGTTGGATCAACCTTGGATAATTCTTGGACAAACCTTGGATAAACCTTTGATAAACAGTGGATAAACCTTGGACAAATCTCGAGGTAACAGTGGACATAAGAGTGTTTTGTACAAAAGTGATTTGGAGTAAAAAGTGTTTTGGATAAACATTGGATAAACCTTGGACAAACGTTGAATAAACCTTGAACAAATCTTGGATAAACCTTGAATAAACCTTAGATAAACCTTGGAGAAACCTTGGACAAATCTTGGATAAACCTTTGATAAACAGTTGATAAACCTTGGACAAATCTCGGGGTAACAGTGGACATAAAAGTGTTTTGTACAAAAGTGATTTGGAGTAAAAAGTGTTTTGGATAAACATTGGATAAACCTTGGATAAACATTGGATAAACATTGGATAAACATTGGATAAACCTTGGATAAACATTGTATAAACCTTGGACAAATCTTGGATAAACCTTGGACAAACCTTGGACAAATCTCGGGATTATAGTGGACAGTACAAGCCTAGGGTTTTATGCAATAAGTGTGCGTTGGTTTACCGTTAGTCTTTTGTCGGGATTGACTTCGATCATGCCTCTGAGTAGGCTCTGGCAATTGGGGGGCACGAAGTGCGGTATGTGGAACACGCCGCGTTTGACCTTTTCCAGAAGTTGCCGGAGGTTGTCGTCGTCGAAGGGCAACGCCCCCACCAGCAGGGCGTAGAGGATGACGCCGCAGGACCACACGTCCGCCTTCCTGCCGTCGTATTTTTCACCCTGGAAAAGGGTTTTCCAGATTTTATATATGGTATGTATGTATAGAGAAAGGAAAATGTAAGAATGAATATTACAAGATAATACATTAGAAAATTAAAAATATGCAAATAGTGGTTTTTCCACTTTTTCATTGTTTTCTCACTTTTTACATGTTTTTCCACTTTTTCCATGTTTTTTTTTACTTTTTTCCATATATTTCCAGATTTTTTCGCATTTTTCATAGTTTTCCATTTTTCCATGTTTTTTTTGCATCTTTTCCACGTTTTTCCACTTCCATTTTTCTCACTTGTCCATTATTTCTCATTTGTCCATTTTTTCAGTTTTTGCCATGTTTCATTTTTGCATTTTGTTCCCCTCTTTTTCATGTTTTTCCACTTTTTCCATTTAATTTTGGGTTATTCCCATTTTTTCATATTTTTTTAAATTTTTCCTTTTTTTTTTTAATTTTTTGCGAATTTTCATATTTTTTCATTTCCATATTTTCTCACTTGACAATTTGTCACTTCTTTTGTGTTTTTCCATTTTTCCATGTTTTTTTCACGATTTTGGATTACTTGCTGTTGACAGTTTTACATTGGTTTTTATGGAGTAACTAAGGAGATTCTTAAGAATTTGACACTTTAATCTTGTTTCTTATAGAGTAACTAAGGAGATTCTTTAGAATTTGACACTTTAACCTTGGTTTTTATGGAGTAACTAAGGAGATTATTTCACATTTAACAGTTTTACATTGGTTGTTATGGAGTAACTAAGAAGATTCTTTCACATTTGACATATTTACATTGGTTGTTATGGAGTAACTAAGCAGATCGACTCTACATAACATAACATAGCAAATAAGTTAGGTTAGGTAGACTGATGTAGACTGTAGTAGACTCACCCGTATGACTTCGGGGCACGCGTAATGCGGCGAGCCGCAGCTCGTCTCCAACATGGAGCCCATCGGCTGTAAAGAGGCCATTCCGAAATCGGCTATTTTGATGTTGTTCTTCTCGTCGAGCAGCAGGTTCTCGGGCTTCAGGTCTCGATGGCTGCTCGAACAGTAAAAGGCCACATAGAATGACAGATATAGAATGGAGAATACGAAAGTGGAAGAGAGAGAGAGAGGAGAGAGAGGAGAGAGAGGAGAGAGAGAGGAGAGTGAAGAGAGAGGAGAGAGAGGAGAGAGAGGAGAGAGAGGAGAGTATCTAGAGATCTATACTCAACCTTTTATAATCAACCTTTCTCATCAACCTTTCGAATCAACCTTTCTCATAAACCTTTCACATCAAACTTTGTCATCAAACTTTCTTATGAACCTTTCTCATCAAACTTTCTCAACAATCTTCCTGAACAACCTTTCCGTCAACCTTTCTCATCAATCTTTCTGAACAGCCTTTCCATTAACCTTTCTCATCAAACTTTTTATCAACCTTCCTTATCAAACTTTCTCATTAACCTTTCTAATCAACCTTTCTTATCGACCTTTCTCATCGACCTTTCTCATCAACCTTTCTCATAAACCTTTCTCATCAAACTTTCTTATCGAACTTTCTCATTAATCTTTCTAATCAACAATTCTCATAAACCTTTCTCATCAAACTTTCTCATCGACCTTTCTCATCAACCTTTCTGATCAAACTTTCTCATCAATCTTTCTGAACAACCTTTCCGTTAACCTTTCTCATCGACCTTTCTCATAGACCTTTCTAATCAACCTTTCTCATAAACCTTTCTCATCGACCTTTCTAATCAACCTTTCCCATCAAACTTTCTCATCAACCTTTCTCATAAACCTTTCTCATCAAACTTTCTCAAAAACCTTTCTCATCAACTCTTCTCGTCAATCCCTCTCAACATTTCTTACTTATGTAATCATCAAAATATTCACATCCTGAAGTATCGGCACTCAATTAATTAACACCCTGCATATACAGGGTATGTTCCGAAAAACTTACCAAATCGAGTGACTGTGGCAGAAATCCAAGGCCGATATGATCTGTCGAAAAAACCGTCGCGCCTCCTTCGGCGTCAGTCGACCTTTTTTCACGAGATAATCGAACAATTCGCCGCCCGAAACGTGTTCCAGAACCAAATAGCTGGAATATAACGGAAAAATAAAAAACTTATTTAAATTTTCTAGTTACGAAAAAAAAATCGGTTGGCGGCACTGTTTCTGGTGATTTTTTTGTAATTGACAGTTCGGCTAACCCAAAGTAGGGTGCCGCCATCTTGATGAAGTTCGCGGCACTGATTTTGGTATTTTTTTTTTCGTTTTTCGAAACAACTGTCGGTGTTGCCAACTTAAATTAAGAAGCATTTTGTTAAAAAGATTAACAAAAAGAACGGTTGGCGGCACTGATTTTGATGTTTTTTTGGTTGTTTTTGTAAATGTCAATGCTGCCAACCTAAATTAACAAGCACGCCGCCATTTTGTTAAGAACATTAACAAAAAGACAAACAAAAACATTAACAAAACGTTAGCAAAACAGTAACAAAAAAAAGAAAAGTTGGCGACACTGATTCTGGAGTTTTTTTTTGTTGTTTTTGTAACCTTCAGTGCTGCCAACCTAAATCATCATACACGCCGCCATTTTATTAAAAACATTAACAAAACGTTAGCAAAACGGTAACAAAAAAAAGAAAAGTTGTCGGCACTGATTCTAGAGTTTTTTTAGTTGTTTTTGTAACTGTCAGTGCTGTCAACCTAAATTAACCAGCACGCCGCCATTCTGTTAAGAACATTAACAAAAAAACAAACAAAAACATTAACAAAACGTTAGCAAAACCGTAACAAAAAAAAGAAAAGTTGGCGACACTGATTCTGGAGTTTTTTTTTGTTGTTTTTGTAACCTTCAGTGCTGCCAACCTAAATCATCATACACGCCGCCATTTTATTAAAAACATTAACAAAAAAAAACAAACAAAAACATTAACAAAACGTTAATAAAACATTAACAAAAAAAAAGTTAACGGCACTGATTCTGGAGTTTTTTGTTGTTGTTTTTGTAACTGTCAGTGCTGCCAATCTAAATGAACGAGCGCCATCTTGATGACGGTATACTTACAGGTACTTTTTGTTTTCGTAAACGTCCGTCAGGCCGAGCACGTGCGGATGATCGATTAATTTCATTATTGCAATTTCCCTTTCGACCTACAACAGAATACCGACACGAAAAATTAATCGATAATTTTAGTACAATCGATTAATCGAAATTAATCAAACAAATTTCTCCATCTTTCATATGGCAACGTTGCCAATTGTAGTAAAATTTCTCCAGATTTTCCAACGTTTATCTCTATCTATAACGATAGTAGATATCATATAGCAACGTTGCCAATTGTAGCGAAATTTCGCCAGATTTTTCGAACTTCCATCCAGAACGAATAGCTTTTATTTACGAGGGTAGGGTGAAAATTTCTCGGCCTGATGCACTGAGGTAATCAACAAACATTCTTCTTTTCTTTTTGGGACATTTATAATTATTTCTAGAACTATCTAGAACCATTTAGAACGCTCCAGAACCGATTAAAACTGTCTAAAGCAATCTAAAACGCTTCAGAATCATTTAGAACCGTTTAGAATCATTTGGAACGCTCCAGAATCTCTCCATAGTCATTAAGAAATGTTTAGATTCTTTTAGAACGTTCCATAGTTACTTAGAACGGTCCAGAATCATTTAGAACTGTCTAGAATAATTAGAATTGTCTAGAAACATTTTGAAAGTTCCAAATATCTTTTACTTTAAAACTGTCTAAAATCATATAGAATGCCTCAGAACCATTTAGAACGCTCCAGAATCATTCAGAACTGTCCAAAATCATTTACAACTGTCTAAAAGACCCATTTAGAACTGTCTAGAACCATTTAGAACGCTCCAGAATCATTTAAAACGCTCCAGAATCATTCATAACTGTCTAGAACCATTTAGAATGGTCCAGAATCAACTAGAACAGTCTACAATGAAATAAAACGCTTCAGAATCACATAGAACTGTTTAGAATAATTTAGAACGCTCCGGAACCATTCAGAACCGTCTCGAACTAAAGATTTCGACTTAACAAGAAGAATAATGTAATTTTTTCAATTGATAATCGCGGTCTTTCATTGTCCGGCCGAGAACTTTTCACATTACCCTTGTACATAGCAACGTTGCCAAATTGTATTGAAATTTCCCCAGATTCTCGCAATTCCCATCAATTACTTACCTTCATTAAAACGCTATCGCTTAATTTTTCTCTATTGATAATTTTGATTGCTACTTTTTTGCCGGTCACGCAATTCACTCCCAACTTCACCAGACCTGAAATCAAATAAATAAATTAGTAAGTAAATAATAAATAAATAAATAAATAAATGAACAGTAATAGCGGCGTTGCCGGTCGTTGCAAAAAATCCAAAAATCCTTGTAAAATAGTAAATTAAATTTCAATCTTAAATTGAAGAATATCGCTCAGAAAAATATAAAAAAAACGAAAATAGCGGCGTTGCCGATCGTTGTAAAAAATCCAAAAAATCCTGGTAAATTGATAATTTACATTCGAATTTTAATCTGAAGAATATCGCTAACAAAAATGAAAAAATATATAAAAATAGCGGCGTTGCCGATAGTTGTAAAAAATCCAAAAAATCCTGGTAAATTGATAAATTACAATTAAATTTTAATTTGAACATTATCGCTCACAAAAATTAAAAAAAATATACGAAAATAGCGGCGTTGCCGATAGTTGCAAAAAATCCAAAAAATCCGGGAATCTTAATTTGAAGAATATTGCTCACAAATATAAAAAAACGAAAATAGCGACGTTGCCGATAGTTGCAAAAAATCCAAAAAATCCCGGTAAATTGGTAAATTACAATCAAATTTTAATCTGAAGAATATCGCTAACAAAAATGAAAAAATATATAAAAATAGCGGCGTTGCCGATAGTTGTAAAAAACGCAAATATTCTGGTAAAATAGTAAATTACATTCCAATCTTAAATTGAAGAATATCGCTCAGAAAAATACAAAAAACGAAAATAGCGGCGTTTCCGATCATTGTAAAAAAATCCAAAAAGTCCTGGTAAATTGGTAAATTACATTCGAATCTTAATTTGAAAAATATCGCTCACAAAAATAAAAAAAAAATATACGAAAATAGCGACGTTGCCGATAGTTGTAAAAAATCCAAAAAATCCCGGTAAAATAGTAAATTACATTCCAATCTTAAATTGAAGAATATCGCTCAGAAAAATATAAAAAAACGAAAATAGCGGCGTTGCCGATCATTGTAAAAAATCCAAAAAATCCTGGTAAATTGGTAAATTACATTCGAATCTTAATTTGAAAAATATCGGTCACAAAAATATAAAAAATACGAAAATAGCGGCGTTGCCGATAGTTGTAAAAAATCCAAAAAATCCTGCTAAATTGGTAAATTACAATTAAATTTTAATTTGAACATTATCGCTCACAAAAATTAAAAAAAATATACGAAAATAGCGGCGTTGCCGATCGTTGCAAAAAATCCAAAAAATCCCGAAATCTTAATTTGAAGAATATTGCTCACAAATATAAAAAAACGAAAATAGCGGCGTTGCCGATAGTTGTAAAAAATCCAAAAAATCCCGGTAAATTGATAATTTACATTCGAATTTTAATCTGAAGAATATCGCTAACAAAAATGAAAAAATATATAAAAATAGCGGCGTTGCCGATAGTTGTAAAAAACCCAAATATTCTGGTAAAATAGTAAATTACATTCCAATCTTAAATTGAAGAATATCGCTCAGAAAAATATAAAAAAACGAAAATAGCGGCGTTGCCGATCATTGTAAAAAAATCCAAAAAGTCCTGGTAAATTGGTAAATTACATTCGAATCTTAATTTGAAAAATATCGGTCACAAAAATATAAAAAATACGAAAATAGCGACGTTGCCGATAGTTGTAAAAAATCCAAAAAATCCTGGTAAATTGGTAAATTACATTCGAATCTTAATTTAAAGAATATCGCTCACAAAAATAAAAAATACAAAAATAGCGGCGTTGCCGATAGTTGTAGAAAATCCAAAAAAAACCTGGTAAATTGGTAAATTACAATTAAATTTTAATTTGAACATTATCGCTCACAAAAATAAAAAAAAATATACGAAAATAGCGGCGTTGCCGATCGTTGCAAAAAATCCAAAAAATCCCGAAATCTTAATTTAAAGAATATCACTCACAAATATAAAAAAAACGAAAATAGCGACGTTGCCGATAGTTGTAAAAAATCAAAAAAAATCCTGGAAACTTGGTAAATTACATTGGAATCCTAATAAGCGATATATTGCATCCTTTGAAGAGGGTTGATGCTCACAAAAACAACCACCCCTCTCACCCCTGGTGTGTGTTTATTCATAATCAAGTTGCCCTAATAGCGCCCCGGGTCAATTTTCGCGTACGAGGGGCGCGCGAAATGCATTCCCTCGAAGGGGAAACAGTTCTATCATAGCCTTCTAGATTCTAGAATACTCGTGTAATTAGTACGGGAAAATTGGTGCGTTGAAAGCGTTATTTTTCTTCCATTATCGCGACGAAATTGAGCGATAAGAGCGGTTTTACAACAAGCGCTATACAGGGTGTCTCATAAGTTGATAGTTTTTTTTACCAGGTCTGGTAATCCTGTAGAGGAGATCGAAATTGGCCGTGACAAGTGTTTTTGTTTTAATATTTTTTAGTACAGGGTGTCCCAATAATGAAAAGTAGACCCTTCATTGAGCTAATAATTTTTAAACGCCTAAATACAGGGTGTCTCATATGTTGATAGTTTTTTTTTTAACTACGTATAGGTTTTTTATTTCTAAGCAACTTTTTCAACTAATTTTTTGTTAATATTCTGGAAAATAAAAAAGATGGAAATTTTTTAAATTTCTTTAAATTTCGAATATTTTCCAATACGTACCTGCCATTACCAATACAGGTGTCAAAAAAATAATAAATAATTAATAACAAAAAATTAATTTTTTGATTGTTGAATTGAAAATGGCTCATTTTTATCCAAATAATAAATTGGTGGATATTCTGATTATTTATGGAAAGTGTTTCCAAAGCGTTTCCAATCAAAATGGCGACAATTTTGAGCAGTTTCTTTAACTTTTAATAAACAGGGCCGTATTAACTAATTTTTTAATAACTAAAAATTGAAAAAAAAATGCTCTCTTATTTTACAGAATATTAAAAAAATTTACTTGAAAAAGTTGCTTAGGTTTAAAAGATCTATACGCAGTTAAAAAATTGTATCAACTTATGAGACACCCTGTATATTGTAGTGCTGTATTAATAATAGTACTATAATTAATGTACTATAGGAGCGTTTTTACATTTGGAGCAATATATTGCATGTTATAAAAAATTATTGCAAGCGTTAAATTGTTGATAATTTTCGCAATAGTGCTATAATTAATGTACTATAAGATCATTTTCAGACACCGGAGCAATATATTGCATGCTTTAAAAATTATTGCATGCATTAAATTGTTGATAATTTTCACGCTGCTGCTATAATGTTGTACTATAAAAGCGTTTTTACACGTGGTGCAATATATTGCATGCTACAGAAAATTATTGCATGCGTTAAATTGTTGATCAATTTCGCCCTAGTCCAATAATTATTGTACTATAAATCGTTTTTACACGTGATGCAATATATTGCATGCTATAAAAATTATTGCATGCGTTAAATTGTTGATCAATTTCGCCCTAGTCCAATAATTATTGTACTATAAATCGTTTTTACACGTGGTGCAATATATTGCATGCTATAAAAATTATTGCATGCGTTAAATTGTTGATCAATTTCGCCCTAGTCCAATAATTATTGTACTATAAATCGTTTTTACACGTGGTGCAATATATTGCATGCTACAAAAAATTATTGCATGGGTTAAATTGTTGATCAATTTCGCCCTAGTCCAATAATTATTGTACTATAAATCGTTTTTACACGTGATGCAATATATTGCATGCTATAAAAAATTATTGTATGCCTTAAATTGTTGATAATTTTAATACTATTGTTAAAATGTGGCACTATAAGGGCGATTTTACAGGGTGCAATATATTGCATGTTATACAAAATTATTGCATAATTTTTGCACTAGTGCTATAATTATTGTACTATAAGATCGTTTTCAGACGCCAGTGCAATATATTGCATGCTATAAAAAAATATTGCAAGCGTTAAATTGTTGATTTAACCTTCTCCGGAACATTTATTCTAACCCCTCCGGAGATAAAAAAAATGCCTTTAAAATTATTCAAATTGTATGGACTTTTCTAAGGATTCTTTTCAGCAAGCAGCAAGTATTAGAGAAACATTTTTAATATATGAGAATAAGGTAAACAGTTCTCGGCCTGAATCATTTAGAAATGTCTATAATAGAACGATCTAGAAAGCTTCAGAATCATTTAGATCGCTACAGAACCATTTAGAACGCTTTAGAACCATTTATAGAACTGTCTAACATCAATTAGAACGCTCCATGGTCACTTAGAACGCCCCAGAATCATTTAGAACCGTCCAGGACAATTTAGAACGCTCTAGAATCATCTCTGGTCTGAGTCTGAGATATCCAATAATTTAAATTCGCCCATATGAACAGACGTCTGACCAATTACTAAATTAAAATCCCTTCTATGCTTTTAGAGCTCCTGCAGTTTTTGAGATATTTTCAATTAATTTCATTTAGAACTGCCTGGGGACCATTTAGAACTGTCTAATATCATTTAGAAAGCTCCAGAATCATTTAGAACTGTCTATACAACAATCTAGAATGCTTCAGGACCATCTAAAACGTTCCTTAAACATTTAGAACTGTCTAGAACCATTTAGAACTGTCTAATATCATTTAGAACTGCCTGGAACCATTTAGAACTGTCTAATATCATTTAGAACTGCCTGGAACCATTTAGAACTGTCTAATATCATTTAGAAAGCTCCAGAATCATTTAGAACTGTCTATACAACAATCTAGAATGCTTCAGGACCATCTAAAACGTTCCTTAAACATTTAGAACTGTCTGGAACCATTTAGAACTGTCTAATACAATTTAGAAAGCTCCACAATCATTTAGAACAGTCTATACAACAATCTAGAATGCTTCAGGACCATCTAAAACGTTCCTTAAACATTTAGAATTGTCTGGAACGATTTAGAACTGTCTAATATCATTTAGAACTGCCTGGAACCATTTAGAACTGTCTAATATCATTTAGAACTGCCTGGAACCATTTAGAACTGTCTAATATCATTTAGAAAGCTCCAGAATCATTTAGAACTGTCTATACAACAATCTAGAATGCTTCAGGACCATCTAAAACGTTCCTTAAACATTTAGAACTGTCTGGAACCATTTAGAACTGTCTAATATCATTTAGAAAGCTCCACAATCATTTAGAACTGTCTATACAACAATCTAGAATGCTTCAGGACCATCTAAAACGTTCCTTAAACATTTAGAACTGTCTAGAACCAGTTAGAACGCTCCATAGTCATTTAGAACGCGAAATTTTTCACTCCAAAAGAATAAATAATTTTTTTTTTGCATATTGTTTATCTAGCTTTGAGGTTTTTGGTGCGAGTTTTAACAAAATGATGTGTTTAATTGTTCAGAAAAATTCATAGGTACTACATAAAAAAATCAAAAAGAAAGATGAAATATTGATGATTTTCGGTTGAAAAATTACATGATTCTTCTTGTTAAGTCGAAATATTTACGGTTCTAAATGGTTCTAGATTGTTCTAAATAATTCTAGGGCGTTCTAAATGGTTCTGAAGCGTTCTAAATGGTTCTAGATAGTTCTAAATGATTCTGGGGCGTTCTAAATGATTCTGGAGCGTTCTAAATGACTCTGAAGAATGTTAGGTGGAGGAAACTTAAATTCTTTTTGAAAAAATTGCGCTTTTAGTAAACAAAATTGACCTGTCCGAGTGTTTTTTCGAAAAACCAACCAATTTCATTATAATGAATTTATTCCTTTCATTTGTTACATACTGTATATAAACGGCGTGTTCTATTTAAAAAAAATGGTTAATAGAATTGTTTAGAATACTTTAGAATCATTTAGAACGCTATAGAACCATTTAAAACTGCCTGGAATCTTTTAGAACACTTCAGAATCATTTAAATCAGTCCAAAATAATTTTAAAACGCTTCAGAATAATTTAAAACTGTCTAAAATCATTTAGAATTGTATTTAATCATTTGGAATTGTTTAGAATCGTTTAGAACTGTCTAGAATCATTTACAACTCAATAGAATCATTTAGAACTGCCTGGAATCATTTAGTATGCTTCATAATCATTTAAATCAGTCCAAAATAATTTTAAAACGCTTCAGAATAATTTAAAACTGTCTAAAATCATTTAGAAATTTATACATATAATCATTTGGAATTGTTTAGAATCGTTTAGAACTGTCTAGAATCATTTACAACTCAATAGAATTATTTAAGAACTGCCTGGAATCATTTACAACTCAATAGAATCATTTAGAACTGCCTGGAATCATTTAGTATGCTTCATAATCATTTAAATCAGTCCAAAATCATTTTAAAACGCTTCAGAATAATTTAAAACTGTCTAAAATCATTTAGAATTGTATTTAATCATTTGGAATTGTTTAGAATCGTTTAGAACTGTCTAGAATCATTTACAACTCAATAGAATCATTTAAATCAGTCCAAAATAATTTTAAAACGCTTCAGAATCATTTAAAACTGTCTAAAATCATTTAGAATTGTATTTAATCATTTAGAACTGTATATAATCATTTAGAAATTTATACATATAATCATTTAGAACGGTACAGAACCATTTAAAACTACCTGGAATCATTTAGTATGCTTCATAATCATTTAAATCAGTCCAAAATCATTTTAAAACGCTTCAGAATAATTTAAAACCGTCTAAAATCATTTAGAACATAAACGGCCTACTTTTCATTAGGACACCCCATATCTAAAAAAAAAAAGAGAAAAAAAAAGAGAAAAAAAAAGAAAAAAAAAAACCACCCCTCACTCACCGGTCTGTCCCTTCCCCAAAGTCTTCTCGAGCCTGTAGGGCCCCACGTACTGGTGCGCCTCCGGCGAAGGATTCGAATTCTCCTTCTGCATAATCACCAGGCCACCTATACAATACAATACGACATGTACAACAACAAACAATCGAGAGCTGGCCCCCGATCAACGTCACAAATCCGCCGCCTTCCACGGCCGCCTATCGTCTATCGAACGTCCACTTCGATGGGCTCCCATACCACCGTCACTGCACTGCCATTTCCCATACACACGATTCCCATATACACGATTACACGGGGGGACTGTATAAGTATAATATATAGTAGCACTAGGAGCGCCGCGACGCCGGATCGCGGAGGCGGCGTCGGCGGCGGCACATCTTCGAAACCGGTTTGTTGTTTTGTTGTTTTTTCTTCTTCTATCGGCCAGCGGGCGGTTTCGCTCGGGCCATGTTCGTGCCAGATATTTTTGTGATCCAGATGTGTGTGTGTGTAATCCAGAGGTCCGTGCGATGGTGGCGGCGCGACGGCGATACTGGAGAGGAGGAGGAACGGCGCGCGAGCGGTGGGGGTGGTGGAAAATCAATAGTCGAGTTGGGCACGTTGCCGGACGCGAATTCCCCCAAGTTTATTCCGGCGGCCCTCTGTCGGTAAAACCATATACCCCTAGATCAAACAATATAGATGCATAACTCAATGTCATAATTTTAAAGCTAAGAAGCGACATCTACAAATTCGAAGGAACTAAATACAACGTTGCCATATTGCCAAAGATTTCTTTTTTATATATTTGATTTGTTTGTGTAAATACAGGGTGTAAATAAATGGTTGAGAAAGAATTTAATGGGTTATTCCTTGTCGAAAGAAAAGAACTTTTATATTAAAAAAATGTTTGACTAGGAATCACCGCTTAAATTCTTTCCCAACCATTTATTTTTAATAGGAATATATAGGTCACCCAAACGTTTTTAAAAAACTAGGACGAAATCAACATTTTTGTTGGGATTTGGAAATGTGTGTTTACTAGCTGTGGATCCCCAACAACTACTAATTGCACAATAAATGCCGACCATCTGAAATAAATAACAAATATTTATTATTTATCGAAGCACTTTTAACTGGTTAAATAAATAGGTATTTCCTTAATTACTACAAAATTACTATCATTCAAATTTTGACACTTTTGACTTTTTGCGACGACGCTGTGTTGCCATGTCTCTTTTGTTGGCTGTGAAAGCAGCTCCAGCGCCATCTGTTTATTCGAAGAAACTCAAAATAATTCTCAGAAACACCAATTCAAGAAAAACATCTATAGGTTTTGTCTATGCATATACCTATTAGTATACACTGTGTTATTTATAAGATGCGACATAGGGATTCCTGTACAAATGTGTCAAAAGCAAGCTCAACTTTTTTACCAAATAACGTTCATAAAAAATAATGACAGATTTGAAAAGATCGTAAAAAAATAGGTCGAAATGGACATTAAATTTTCTTAAATTCGTTCTGGTTTATTAAAAAAATGTATAATTAAGTTGAAAAAGTCGTACGCCATAAATAATTCCTTTTTATAACACTATCTAATTAATGTGAAAAGGGGCGGAGCTAACAGGGTTGGTTGACGCTCTGAAATTTTAAAATTTCGAGGTGAAGGATTGCGGTTCAAACCGCGAGTGCGGAAATTTTTTTCTGTTTTTTTTTTGCTATTTTTTGTTTTTTTTTATGTTTTTTTGTCATTAATAAAAATATGGCATTAATTTAAAGGCTCTACCTACTAACGAGATTTTGCGTTATCAAAATTGACAATTAATTGTCGGAGCTTTTATTTAAATAAAAATTAAATTAAATCTCAAATAAGCTTGTCTTATTTTAAATACTTTTATTTAACATTTTTTTTAGACAAAAACATAAAAAAAACGAAAAAAAAAAACAAAAAAAAAACATTGCCCCAAGTTTGGTTGTCGATCAAATTCGCCCCGATGGCGATGTGAAGTGTGAAGTTCGTGCGGTTTAATCGTTGAATCGCCGTCGCGACGTTGCCGGGTCGTGTAATGGAAATCCTTATTATGACGGATATACAGAGTTGGGGAAAAGTGCGGAATAACATTATTATGTTTTGAACCAGTAATTTAAACGAAAAAACGCTGAAACAGGTGAATTGGTTTTATATTTGACGGATTTGTTGCCAATAAAATGATTTTTTTTTCTTCAACCCCTTAGTTGCAACCAGGGTTGTTAAGTAGTTAATTACAAGTAATTGAAAAAGTAATTGAATTACTTTTATTGTAATTGAGGCGGTAATTAATTACAAGCTCCTCAATTGTAATTCATTTGTAATTCAATTACTCCTTTCGTTACAATTACAATTACATTTTACAATTACATTTCAATTATATTGGACACAAAAGTACTTATTTAATATTTTCAATACGTGGAAAGTTTAATTCCGATTGCAAATACCTAAATAATTATTTAAAACTGACACCAAAGCAAAGTAATTGTGATTGTAATTGTAATTGTAACTTTAATTGTAATTGTAATTACATTCGCAAATTTTGTAATTGTAATTGCAATTAATTACAATTTTCCAAAAGTAATTGTAATTGTAATTAATTACATATTATAAAGTAATTTTAACATCACTGGTTGCAACCCTACCAAACTTTTTTTTTCAAATAAGTACCAAGGTATGTCGTGTGTAGGGTCATTGAAAAGCCCGTGAAAAATGGAATCTAAAACATACCTTTTTTTTATTTTTTGTCATGTTGTTATTTGGAAATGGGCAAAAATTTCTTTTAAAAACAAAAAAGTTACAAATACCTTTTTAGGTATTTGTAAAAATTTCAGGACCGTCTTCAAAAAAAAGAGGTCAATATTTCCAAACCTAATATTTCACCCTGTATACACTTTTTCTAAATTTTCCTTAGGTTAATGTAGAAGGTATAAAGGTATAAGTAAGGAAGGAAGGTATAAGTAACTCATAAAGCCTGAGCATCGGAAATTTTTGCCACACTTTGTTTAAATTGTCAATTATCAATTAAATTTTAAGAAAAATTACACATTTAGGATAACCGAATAATTTATACTAAAATAATATTTTCTATCGTACAAATTTTAATGAAAATTAATAAAAACGACTAATTACATATTCCTTTCTATGAAAAAGTCCTAAAATTACAATATTAAGTTTGGAAAAATTTACCTCTTTTTTTTTGAAGACGGTCCTGAAATTTTTTTATTCTGAATATGCCAGTGTGTTGCTGGTTTAAAATGTATACTTTTACCAAAAAATGAACCAAATCAAAATAACCACCATAAAGATATAAACAGAAGAAAATTTCGTCAAAATTAATAAATCACCCTGTATCTCCATAGAGAAGAGGCGGATGGAACTTTTAATGGTCGTTTGATATTCACCTTAAGTGCCTCTATACACTGTTAAAGTATGTACGATTCCTCATGACTCACCCTGTATAATCATTTAGAATTGTTTAGAATCATTTAGAATTGTCTAAAATTATTCAGATTACTACAAAACCATTTAGACCTGCCTGGAACGATTTAGATCAGTCCAAAATCATTTTAGAACACTTCAGAATTAAAAAAAAACTCGCAATTATAGTAGAGATTTGAACAAATTTACAAAAAAAATTACGCGAAAAACTAGCAAAAAACGAGTAGAAAAAGAAGAATCCACACAAAAAAACTATTTAAACCGGACAAAAACACAAAATTCGAATTATTTAGTTTCATTTAGAATGCTCCATAATCATTTAGAACTGTCTAGAATCATTTAGAATTGTCTAGAAACATTTTGAAAGTTCCAAGTATCTTTTAAAACTGTCTAAAATTATTTAGAACGCCTCAGAACCATTTGGAACGCTCCAGAATCATTCATAACTGTCTGAAATTATTTACAACTGTATAGAATTGCCATTTAGAACTGCCTGGAATCATTTAGATCAATCCAAAATCATTTTAAAACGCTTCAATATCATTCAAAACTGTCTTAAATCATTTAGAACTGTATATAATCATTTAGAAATTTATACATATAATCATTTGGAATTGTTTAGAATCATTTAGTACGCTACAAAACCATTTAGAACTGCCAGGAATTATTTAGAATGCTTCAAAATCATTTTAGAACGCTTCAGAATCATTTAAAACTGATTAGATCAATTATAAACGCTCTAGAATCGTTTAGAACTAACAGGAATCATTTAGAATGCTTCAAAATCATTTTAGAACGCTTTAAGATCATTTAAAACTGTCTAGAATCGTTCAGAACGCTACAGAACCATTTAGAACTGCCTGAAATCTTTAAGAATGCTTCAGAATCATTTTAGAATGCTTCAGAATCATTTAGAACGCTTCATAAACAAACAAAAATCACTGGTAAAGTCACAAAAACAACAAATTGTTATAAAAACTTATCAACTACGAATATAGCGGAATTTTGAGTACTAATAAACGATATGGCAACAACGCATCGTCATATCAACCGCCACTCTTAAAATTCCCCTAGTTAATTGACATCAGAATTAACTCATTTGGCAACTATAAGGAAATTTTGAACTGCACGGAAATTACTCTAAAAATGACACACACACGTCATTGACATTTAAAAAAATTTTCATCGACAGTTGGTAACATTGCCGGACGTAAATTCCCCTAGAATTTCACGTCACTCGATTATAATCACCCCAACCCCCGTGAAGTTCGTACGTTTTAAAACGAAGAAGATATCGCGAGTTGGCGCGTCGCGACGTTGCCAGGTTGTAATAGAAATCCTTTATTATGGCGAAATTACAAAAAAATTGTAGTCGCAAAATAGTAGAATTTAAACGTGAAAAAGAACATCGGGAGGATATATGTGAACTGATTTAAGTTAGTTTTGTATAAACTAGCACGAAAATTCCGCGAAAAACGCATGAAAAATGCTGGAGAATGTGATTAAGTTAGAGAACTGCACGAAAAATATTCTAAAACGGACGAAAAACACAAAATTCGAATAATTTAAATCCGTTTAGAACGCTTCGGAACTATCTAGAATCGTTTAGAACTGTCTAGAACCACTTACAACGCTCCAGAATCGTTTGGAAACGCTCCAGAATGATTCAAAAGTGTCTAATTAGAACTATCCAGATTCACTTAGAACTGTTCAGAACCATTTAGGATGCTTCAGAATCATTCAGAACTGTCTAGAACCATTTAGAACGCTCCAAAATCGTTTAGAACGCTCCAGAATCGTTTAGAAGGTTTCAGAATCATTCAGAACTGTCTATTTGGAACTCTCCAGATTCACTTAGAACTGTCCAGAACTATTTAGGGTGCTTCAGAATCATTCAAAACTGTCTAGAACCATTTATAACGCTTCAGAATCATTTAGAACGTTCCATAATCATTTAGAACGGTTCAGAATCATCCAGAACTGTCTAGAACCATTTATAACGTTCCATAATCATTTATAACGGTTCAGAATCATTCAGAACTGTCTATTTAGAACTATTTAGAACTATTTTACTCTGTTCTGGATCTGTTCTACACTACACTGAATTTGCTCTGCTTTAACTTACATCTCATTATCTGTTTTGCTCTGCTCAGCTCATAAACTGCTCTTTATCCACTGCCCGAAATCATTTAGAACTGTCCAGAATCATTTAGAACAATCCAATAGTCGTTTAGAACGTTCCAGAATGTCTGGAAACGTTCTGTCATGGAACTGTCGAGAGAGCCATTTAAAACGCTTCAGAATCATTTAGAACCCTCCAGAATCATTCAGAATTGTCTAGAACCATTTTTAACACTCCAGAATCATTTCGAACCCTCCATTGTAATTTAGAACGCTCCAAAAATCAATTAGAACTGTCTAAAACGAACTGTCTAGAACGGTTTAAAACCATTTAGAACGGTCCAGAACTATTTAGAACGGTCCAGAACCATTTAGAATTATCCAGAACCATCCAGAACGCCCGAACAACGTTATATTTTTTCAACAGAATATCGTGGTCTTTCATTATCAGGCAGGGAACTTCTCACCTTATAATACCCCTCGTAAATCGAATGGAAATATTTCGAGAAATATATTCATACACTAATAAAATTTTTAATCTACTAACTATAGAGATAAGAGATTTTATTTAAAACTCGACCCGACCTTGCTCTAACCCAACGTAAACATCATGAATCTCATAAATTTATCACCTATTTTTCTCAGTGTTTTAATTACCAATAATCACCGAGCAGTATAATCTCTGCTAGTACTACCCATCGAGCAGTATAATTTCTACTACAGTACTCCGTAAGTAACCCACTTTTCTTAGTGTATTAATTACCATCCATGGAGCAGTAATCTCAACTAGTACTCTGTAGATACCCCATTTTTCTCAGTGTATTAACTACCATCCAATGAGCAGTAATATCTACTAGTACTCTGTAGATACCCCATTTTTCTCAGTGTATTAACTACCATCCATCGAGCAACATTCTCTAATATAGTACTCCGTAAGTACCCCACTTTTCTTAGTGTATAAATTACCATCCAATGAGCAGTAATCTCTACTAGTACTCTGTAGATACCCCATTTTTCTCAGTGTATTAACTACCATCCATCGAGCAACATTCTCTAATATGGTACTCCGTAAGTACCCCACTTTTCTTAGTGTATAAATTACCATCCAAAGACCAGTAATATCTACTAGTACTCTGTAGATACCCCATTTTTCTCAGTGTATTAACTACCATCCAATGAGCAGTAATATCTACTAGTACTCTGTAGATACGCCATTTTTCTCAGTGTATTAACTACCATCCATCGAGCAACATTCTCTAATATGGTACTCCGTAAGTACCCCACTTTTCTTAGTGTATTTTACCATTCAACGAGCAGTAATCTCTTCTAGTACTCCGTAGATACCCCACTTTTCTTAGTGTATTAATTACCATCCAATGAGCAGTAATCTCTACTAGTACTTTGTAGATACCCCATTTTTCTCAGTGTATTAACTACCATCCATCGAGCAACATTCTCTAATATAGTACTCCGTAAGTACCCCACTTTTCTTAGTGTATAAATTACCATCCAATGAGCAGTAATTTCTACTAGTACTCTGTAGATACCCCATTTTTCTCAGTGTATTAACTACCATCCACTGAGCAGTAATATCTACCAGTACTCCGTAGATATCTCACTTTTCTTAGTGTATTTTACCTTCTACATCGAGCAGTACCTAATCTCTGCTGGTACTCTTCATCAAGCAGTATCTACTCTTTGCTGGTACTCCCCATCGAACAGTAATCTCTACTCTAGTACTCCGTAGATACCCCACTTTTCTCAGTGTATTAACTACCATAAATCGAGCAGAAATCTCTACTGTAGTACACCGTAAGTACCCCACTTTTCTTAGTGTATTTTACAATTCATCGAACAGTAATCTCTGCTAGTACTCCGTAGATACCCCACTTTTCCCAGTGTATTAACAACCATCCATCGAGCAGTAATTTCTACTAGTACTCCCCATCGAGCAGTAATCTCTACTAGTACTCCCCATCGAGCAGTACCTAATCTCTGCTGCTGGTACTACTCATCAAGCAGTACATAATTTCTGCTAGAACTCCCCATCGAGCAGTAATCTCTGCTAGTACTCCGTAGATACTCCACTTTTCCCAGTGTATTAACAACCATCCATCGAGCAGTAATCTCTACTAGTACTCCCCATCGAGCAGTACCTAATCTCTGCTGGTACTACCCATCGAGCACTAATCTCTACTAGTACTCCCCATCGAGCAGTACCTAATCTCTGCTGCTGGTACTCCTCATCAAGCAGTACCTAATTCCTGCTGGTACTACCCATCGAGCAGTAATCTCTCCTAGTACTCCTCATCAAACAGTACCTAATCTCTACCAGTACTCCCCAGGTATATATCCCCAATGGAATTCTTCAACTTCAAAGGCAAAACAGTACTAGTGACCGGCGCCAGCCAAGGCATCGGCCGCGAAATAGCCAAGCAGATGGCGCGGCGCCAAGCCAAAGTGATAGCCTCGGCCAGAAACGCGGAGGCCTTGCAGAGCCTGCGCGACGAGGAGCCTTCGATTGAAATCCTGCCGATGGATTTGACGCGATGGAAGGAAACGGAGAAGGCTTTGGAAAACGTCGGCCATATTGATTTGCTTGTCAACAATGCCGGTATGGGATTCCTGGATTCGCTGGTGAATGTTACCGAAGAGATGTTCGATGAGTAAGTACTTGGTTAAGTACTGCACGGTGTGATGGCGAGTGGCGGTGAATTGGGCGCGGGAGTGTGTTAGAGTAGGTGTAGAGTCGGAATGGGGTAGAGTAGAGCAGTGTAGAGTAGTGTAGAGAAGTAGAGTAGAGTAGTGTAGAGAGGTAGTGTAGGGTAGGTTCAGGGTAGAGTAGAGTAGATCCAAAGGTAGATTCAAGCTGTTTAAGAGCAAATTTGGAGGAGATTAAGAGTAGATTCAGTGTAGTATTCAGAATAGATTCAGGTCCAGTAGATTTACAAAGGAGATTCAGAATAGATTTAGAGGAGAGTAAAAGCAGATTCAAAAGAGATTCAGAGTAGTTTTAGATCATATTCATGGATGATTTAGTGTAGATTCAGAATAGATTCAGGTATCCAGTAGATTTACAAACGAGATTCAGAGTAGATTCAGAGGAGATTAAAAGCAGATTCAGAGCAGATTCATTGGAAATTAAGAGCAGATTCAGAGTAGATTAAGAGCAAATTCAAAGTAGTTTTAGATCATATTCAAGGAAGATTTAGTGTAGTATTCAGTGTAGAAGATTTGGCGTAGATTCAGAATAGATTCAGGTCCAGTAGATTTACTAGGTATAGATTTACAAAGGAGATTGAGAGTAGATTCAGAGGAGATTAAAAGCAGATTCAGAGTAGATTAAGAGCAGATTCAGAGCAGATTCATTGGAAATTTAGATCAGATTCCGAGTAGATTAAGAGCAGATTCGGAGCAGATTCAGAGTAGGTTAAAAGCAGATAAAGGGAAGAGATTCAGAACGGAACCAGAGCAGATTCATAGTAGATTAAGGGTAGAGTCAGAGTATATTAAGAGCAGATTAAGAGTAGATTAAGAGCAGATTCAGACGAGATTTACAGTAGATTAATAGCATATTAAGGGAAGAGATTGATTCAGAGCACATTCAGAGTAGATTAAGAGTAGATTAATAGCAGATTTTGAGCAAAGTAATGAGAAACTCAGAGTAGAGAAGATTCAGAGCAATTATAGAGACGTTCTAAGTGGTTTTAGACAGTCCTAAATTATTTTGCTGCGTTCTAAATGGTTCTGAGTCGTTCTAGGTTGCTGAGGACAGTTCTAAATGATTCTAAATTATCCTAAATGGTTCTGAGTCGTCGTAGGGTGTTGTAGATAGTTCTAAATGATTCTGCGGGGTTTTAAATGGTTCTGAAGCATTCTAAATGGTTTCAGACAATACTAAATGACTCGCCGTGACAGTATATCGCCGAAAAAAAAGAGCAGTTTCATAGTAAATTTAGAACAGATTATAATTGGGGGAACAAATTCAGAGCAGATTTAGAGCAGATTAAAGACAGTTTTATTGGAAGATTTATTGAAGAGAAGATTCAGAGCAATTTTAGCATCGTTCTAAATGGTTTTAGACAGTTCTAAATTAATCCGGAGCCTTGTAAATGATTCTAGACAGTTCTAAATGATTCTGGAGCAATCTAAAGGGTTCTAAAGCGTACTAGATTGTTGTAGACAGTTCTAAATTATTCTGAAGCGTTATAAATTATTCTAGACAGTTCTAAATGATTCTGAAGCGTTCTAAATGATTCTAGAGCTTTCTAAATTATTCTAGACAGATCTAAACGATTCTGGAGCGTTATAAATGGTTCTAGATAAGTTCTAAATGACTATAAAGCGTTCTAAATTATTCTAGACAGTTCTAAAGGATTCTGAAGCATTCTAAATTGTTCTAAAGCATTCTAGATTGTTGTAGACAGTTCTAAATGATTCTGAAGCGTTCTAAATTATTCTAGACAATTCTAAATCATTCTGAAGTATTCTAAATGATTCTAGAGCGTTCTAAATTATTCTAGACAGATCTAAACGATTCTGGAGCGTTATAAATGGTTCTAGATAGTTCTAAATGATTGTGAAGAGTTACAAATTATTCTAGACAATTCTAAATCATTCTGAAGCGTTCTAAATAATTCTAGACAGTTCTAAACGATTATAAATCACTCCCATCTTTCCTCCAACACACCCTGTACATACAAACACATCAAAAATGACAGACGTGACATCAGTATATTGCCGAAAAAAATTTATCCAAATCAAAATTAACCATTTAACTTCCAAATCCCCCGTATATCGCGATCCTATATCGAAATGTTAAATTCGACCGTCTAATCTCCTGACCTTGTCGGCGTGTCACCAATCCCGCTCGCATACACAGCATACACAGCATATTATACATAAATTAAAATGCACGAGCTCCTGTCGAGCCACATTCACTAACTCAACTCGTTACTAAACCGCGCTCGGAACAGGAAAAAATCTAGAAAAAATCTCGTGCAATTCATATTCGAAGAACATCATCGGAATCTAGTGCAAAATACTGCGAAAGTGCATCGGAATCTAGTGCAGAAGAGCAACAGAATCTAGTGCAAAAGAACATCAAAATCTAGTGCAGAAGAACATCAGAGAATCTAGTGCAAAATACTGCAAAAGAGCATCGGAATCTAGTTCTAAAGAGCATCAAAATCTAGTGCAGAAGAACATCAGAGAATCTAGTGCAAAATACTGCAAAAGAGCATCGGAATCTAGTGCAGAAGAGCAACAGAATCTAGTTCTAAAGAGCATCAAAATCTAGTGCAGAAGAGCATCAGAATCTATTGCAAAATACTGCAAAATAACATCAAAACCTAGTGAAAAAAAAAGCATCAGAATCTAGTGCAAAAAACCATCAGAATCTAGTGGAAACAGCACCAGAATCTAGTGGAAAAGAAGCATCTGAATCTAGTGCAAAAAGCATCAGAATCTAGTGAAAATCGCGCTCGAAATCTCCTGAATAATCCATTCGAAGAGCATCATCAGAATCTAGTGCAAAAAAGCATCAGAATCTAGCACAAATCTCTTTCAAAACCTCCATTCAAACACCACCACAATCTACCCCGAACCTCTCTCAAAACCTCCATTCAAACACCACCAGAACCTAGCACAAATCTCTCTTAAACCCTCCACTCAACCACCACCAGAACCTAGCACAAATCGCTCCCAAAACCCCCATTCAAACACCCCCAGAACCTAGCACAAATCTCTTTTAAAACCTTCACTCAAACACCACCACAATCTACCCCGAACCTATCTCAAAACCACCACCCAACCAGCACCAGAACCTAGCCCAAATCTCTCTCAAACCCTCCACCCAAACCACCAACCAGAACCCGGCGCCCAACCTCTCACAAAATGGTCGACAACAACCGCCCCAACACCGACCTGAACTTCCAAGGTAAAACGGTCCTGGTGACCGGCGCCAGCCAGGGCATCGGCCGCGAGATCGTCAAGCAACTGGTCAAATGCAAGGCCACCGTGATCGCGGTGGCTCGAAACAAAGAGCTGTTGGCGTCGCTCAAACAGGAGGTGCCCGCCGTCCAGACGATACCGATCGATCTGACCAATTGGGACACGGCCAGCTGCATGCTGGGCAACGTCGGCGACATCGATATGCTGGTGAACAACGCCGGTTTGGCCGTTTTGGGGCCGCTCACCGAGGTCAAGGAGGAGGATTACGATAGGTGAGTCGATGGGTTTCGGATGGTACGATGGGTCAGCTGGAGGTTTCAGTGCTTGAACCTTGGTTTGAGCGTCTGGAAGCGTTTGGGACGATGGGCCCGCTGGAGGCTTCAGTGCTTGAACCTTGGTTTGAGCTGGAGGGTTTCGGATGGTACGATGGGCCCGCTAGAGGTTTCAGTGCTTGAACCTTGGTTTGAGCGTCTGGAAGCGTTTGGGACGATGGGCCCGCTGGAGGACTCTGTGCTTGAACCTTGGTTTGAGCTGGAGGGTTTCGGATGGTACGATGGGGCCGCTGGAGGCTTCTGTGCTTGAACCTTGGTTTGAGTCGAGGGTTTCGGATGGTACGATGGGGCCGCTAGAGGTTTCAGTGCTTGAACCTTGGTTTGAGCTGAAGGGTTTCGGATGGTACGATGGGCCCGCTGGAGGCTTCAGTGCTTGAACCTTGGTTTGAGTCGAGGGTTTCGGTTTGAGCGTCTGGAAGCGTTTGGGACGATCCAGAGTCGTTTGGAACTGTGTAGAAAGTATCTAGAAGGCTTCAGAACTTTTTAAAACTATCCAGATTCATTTGGAAATGGCTATAAGATCATCTAGAATTACTCAGAACCGTTTAGAACGCTCCAGAATCGTTTGGAACTGTTTAGTATCATTTGGAATGTTCCGAGATCATTAAGAATGCTTCAGAATGAATAGGAACTGTCTAAAGCCATTTATAACGCTCCAGAATCTTTTAGAGTTTTCTAGAACCATTTAAAACGTTCCAAAAATCATTTGGAACACTCCAGTATCATTTAGAATTGTCTACATTCATTTAGAACGCTTCAGGACTATTTAGAACGCTCCAGGACTATTTAGAACGCTCCATAATCATTTAAAACCATCCAGAATCATTTAGAATGCTCCAAAATCATTTAAAACCATCCACAATTATTTAGAAATGTCTATAAAATCATCTAGAATTACTCAGAACCGTTTAGAACGATCCAGAATCGTTTGGAACTGTTTAGTATCATTTGGAATGTTCCGGGATCATTAAGAACTATCTAGAACCTTTTAGAATGCTTCAGAATGAATAGGAACTGTCTAAAGCCATTTATAACGCTCCAGAATCTTTTAGAATTTTCTAGAACTATTTAGAACGCTCCATAATCATTTAAAACCATCCAGAACCTTTGAGAACGCTACATAATTATTTAGAAATGTCAATAAAACCATCTAAAACGACTCAGAATCATTTAGAACGCACCAAAATCATTTAAAATCATCCAGAATCATTTAGAACGCTCCAAAGTCATTTAAAACCATCCGGATTCATTTAGAAATGTCTATAAAACCATCTAGAATGACTAAGAACCGTTTAGAACGCTGCAGAATCGTTTGGAAATGTGTCTAGAATAATCTAGAATTCTTCAGAACCATTTAAATCTTTTAATCTTTAGAACCTTTTAGAATGCTTCATCATCATTTAGAACCCTTTAGAATGAATAGGGACTGTAAAAAAGCCATTTATAGAATCGCTCTAGAATCTTTTAGAATTTTCTAGAACCATTTAAAACGTTCCAAAATCATTTGGAACACTCCAGTATCATTTAGAATTGTCTACAATCATTTAGAACGGTCTAGAACTATTTAGAACGCTTCAGGACCATTTAGAACGCTCCAGATTCATTTAGAACTGTCTATCATCTGTAACCTTTATCCTCTATAACCTCATCATTATGACCTCTGTTATAATATGCAGATAAGGCTATAATCGCATTTATTGACGGTCTTCTTAGAGATTAAATTTCGGCTTATGTGGGTCTTACAGATGCTCTCAGAATTCAGCCATAATTCTAAAATTCTTTAATAAAATTATTCACGCTTTGAGATAAGAGCATGTTTAATATAAAGAAATTTAATGGGGAGTTATTTATGGTTAAATTATGATAAGTTGGATAAGATTTGTTGTGTTTAATTTGGCGTTTTACATATACAGGGTGTCTCATAAGTTGATATTAAACTTTTTTATTGGTTATACTTTTTTTTTAATTGCGTATAGATCTTTAATTCTAAGCAACTTTTTCAAGTAATTTTTTTTAATATTCTGGAAAATATAAAAGATGGAAATTTTTAAAATTTCGAATATATTCCACGTACCTGCCATTACCAACACAGGTGTCAAAAAAAAATAATGACAAAATGACAAAAAAATTAATTTTTCAATTGTTGAATTGAAAATGGCTCATTTTTATAAAAATAATGAATTGTTGGACATCCTGATTATTTATAGAGAGTTTTTCAAAAGCGTTTTACAATCAAAATGGCGACAAATTTGAGCTGCTCTATAAGCAGTTAAAAAAATGTATCAACTTATGAGACACCCTGTATACGAGTCGAAATTAATCTGAGTCGATATTTTCATTAAATATTATTACAGATATATTTAATTTAAAGTTACGCTTACTTTCAATTAGTTTTATTTAGAACTGCCTGGAACCATTTAGTAACTGTCTAAAATCATTTAGAACGTCTCAGAATCATTTAAAACTGTCTAAAACCATTTCGAATGCTTCAGAACCATTTAGATCGCCCCAAATTATTTATTTAGAATGCTTCAGAATCATTAAGAACTGTCTAGAATCATTTAGAATTGTCCAGAATTTTATAGAACTGTTTAGAATCATTTAGAACCGTCTACCTACATACGAGGGTCTCTAAAAACGTTTCTCATTTTTCCTCAGAGTATTCGCCATCAACATCAACGCCATGATCAACAATCTACAATATTTAGAACTATGTCTAGAATCATTAAGAACACTCCACAACCATTTAGAACGCTCCAGAACGATTCAGGTCGCTCCTAGAATCATTTAAAACGCTCCAAAATCATTTGGAACGCTCCAGAATCATTAAGAACCTACCAACATACGAGGCACTCAAAAAAACCTTTCCAATTTTTCTTCTCTCATCCCCAGAGTATTCGCCATCAACATTAAAGCGATAATCAACAATTTATAACCATCCATACAACCATTTAGAACCATTTAGAACCATTTAGATTTAAAAAACTTTCCAATTTTTCTTCTCTCATCTCCAGAGTGTTCGCCATCAACATCAAAGCCATGATCAACAATCTACAATATTTAGAACTATATCTAGAATCATTTAGAACCTTCCAGACTCATTTAAAACTGTCTTAGAATCATTAAGAATATTCCAGAATCATTTAGAACTCTCCAGAATCATTAAGAACCGTCTACCTACATACGAAGGGTCTCTAAAAACGTTTCCAATTTTTTTCTCATCCCCAGAGTATTCGCCATCAACATCAAAGCGATAATCAACAATTTATAACCATCCATACAACCATTTAGAACCATTTAGATTTAAAAAAAAACCTTTCCAATTTTTCTTCTCTCATCCCCAGAGTATTCGCCATCAACATCAAAGCTATGATCAACAATCTACCATTTATAACTTTCTATAGAACATTAGAGAATCATTTAGAACGTTCCAGAATCATTTCTAACTTTTTAAAACGCTCCAAAATCATTTGGAACGCTCCAGAATCATTAAGAACCTACCAACATACGAGGCACTCAAAAAAAACCTTTCCAATTTTTCTTCTCTCATCCCCAGAGTATTCGCCATCAACATCAAAGCCATGATCAACAATCTACAATATTTAGAACTACATGTATATCTAGAATCATTTAGAACCCTCCAGACTCATTTAAAACTGTCTTAGAATCATTAAGAATATTCCAGAATCATTTATTACTCTCCAGAATCATTAAGAACCGTCTACCTACATACGAAGGGTCCCTAAAAACGTTTCCAATTTTTCCTTAAAGTATTCGCCATCAACATCAAAGCGATAATCAACAATTTATAACCATCCATACAACCATTTAGAACCATTTAGATTTAAAAAAAAAACCTTTCCAATTTTTCTTCTCTCATCCCCAGAGTATTCGCCATCAACATTAAAGCCATAATCAACAATCTACCATTTATAACTTTCTATAGAACATTAGAAAATCATTTAGAACGCTCCAGAATCATTTAGAACGCTCCATAACCATTTAGAAAGCTCCAGAATCATTAAGAACCTACCAACATACGAGGCACTCAAAAAACCTTTCCAACGTTTCCACTTGTCCACAGAGTGTTCGCCATCAACATCAAAGCCATGATCAACATCACCCGGCTGGTGGTGAAGAACCTGCTGAAGCGCAAAGTGCCCGGCAGCATCGTCAACGTTTCGTCGCAGGCCTCGCTCGTCGGCCTCGTCAACCATTCGGTCTACTGCGCCTCCAAAGGCGCCGTCGACGGTTTCACGCGCGCCTGCGCCCTCGAATACGGCCCCAAGAACATTCGCGTCAACGCCGTCAATCCGACGGTCATCATGACGGACATGGGCAAGCTGGGCTGGTCGGATCCGGCCGTGTCCGGTCCCATGTTGCAGAAGATACCGTTGAGGCGGTTCGGGCAGGTGCACGAGGTCGTCGACGCCGTGATGTTTTTGCTGAGCGATCGGGCGAGCATGATTACGGGACATTGTTTGCCCGTTGACGGGGGGTATGTGTCTTCTTAGGAAGGTTTCGCTTTCGGTTTTATTATTTTGTTTTTTGGAATAAAAGTATGTTGAATGTATATTGTTTTATTTGCTGTAGAAACATGTTTATAATCGTTTAAAACGCTCCAGAATCAATTTAGAATGGTTTAGAATCATTTAGAATGGTCCTGAATCATTTAGGACACTCCAGAACCATTTAAAATGCTCCAGAATCATCTAGAATGGTCTAGAATAATTTAAAATGCTCCGGAATCATTTAGGACACTCCAGACCCATTTAGAATTGTCTACAATCATTTAGAACGGTCCAGAACCATTTAAAACGCTCCAGAATCATTTAGAATGGTCTAGAATCATTTAGGACACTCCAGATCCATTTAGAATTGTCTACAATCATTTAAAACGCTCCAGAATCATTTAGGACACTCCAGACCCATTTAGAATTGTCTACAATCATTTAAAACGCTCCAGAATCATTTAGGACACTCCAGACCCATTTAGAATTGTCTACAATCGTTTAGAACGGTCCAGAACCATTTAAAACGCTCTAGAATCATTTAGAATGGTCTAGAATCATTTAGAATGCTCCGGATTCGTTTAGGACACTCCAGATCCATTTAGAATTGCCTACAATCATTTAGAACGGTCCAGAACCATTTAAAACGCTCCCGAATCATTAAAAATGCTCCAGAATCATTTAGAATGGTCTAGAATCATATAAAATGCTCCAAAATGATTTAGAACTGTCTGGTATCTTTTAAAACGCCCCAGAACCTGTTAGAAAGCTCCAGTATCTTTAAGAAATTGTCTACACCCATTTAGAACGCTCTTAGAATTGTCTACAATCATTTAGAACGGTCCAGAACCATTTAAAATGCACCAGAATCATTTAGAACTGTCTAGAATCATTTAGAATGCTCCAGAATGATTTATAACTGTCTATCATTAAGAAATTGTCTATACACGTTTAAAACGTTCTTAAAATTATTATTAAGAACTAAATAGTTCTAGAGGGTTCTAAATGATTCTTGAGCGTTCTAAATGGTTTTTGACAATTCTAAACCATTCTGAACCATGCTAAATGTTTATGAAACGTTCTAAATGGTTCTAGACAATTCTAAATCGTTCTGAAGCGCTCTAAATAGCTCAAGACAATTCTAAATGATTCCAAATGATGGATGTGCCCTCTAAAGTTGCAGAAGACTTCCCCAATAAAAGACCATCTCTCCGTTAACGGACGATAAATTTATATTTGTACTTTAATTACTTTAATCTAACAGAAGAAGAAAAGAAAAAACTAGAATCTCGAGTGCATGTAATAATCGATGGCTGTGGAAAAGGCCGCGAAACCCATCGCACCCACCACTCCTGCTTTCACTCCGGCTACAAAACGAACAAAAATTTATTAATTAATTAAATCTACCAATAATTAATCGACCAATTAGTTAAATAAACGAATTAAATTCACTAACAAATAATCGATCAATTAGCTAAATAAACGAATTAAATTCACTACCAAATAATCGATCAATTAGCTAAATAAACGAATTAAATTCACTTACAATTAATCGATTAATTAGTTAAATAAACAATTTAAATTTACTACCAATTAATCGATCAATTATTCAAATAAACAATTAAATCTACCAACAATTAATAGATTAATTAGTTAAATAAACAATTAAATACACTACCAATTAATATATTAATTAGTTAAATAAACAATTAAATATACTACCAATTAATCGATCAATTAGTTAAATAGGTCATTAAATCTACCAACAATTAATTGATCAATTAGTTAAATAAGCCATTCAATCTACCAACAATTAATTGATCAATTAGTCAAATAAACAAATTAAATCTACCAACAATTAATCGATAATTTAGTCAAAGAAACGAATTAAATCTACTTAATTAATCATTTAATTACCTCTTAAACCTATCAAACCACCCGTCACGCCTCCTGCATACGTTCCGTTCTTCCAATCGGATTTACCTCTCGACTGCAAACGATCCGTTTATTAGTTAACACGATTATTCCATTTAAAGTATAATTAATAATTAACAATTAACATACCGATTCTATAATACATTCCACCCCCGAAAACAGGGCTCCTATCATAGCGAAATTCTTGGCGTACCCCAACGTGGTGGTCTTCATTTCTCTGAATACTTGTCTGACCGTTTGCGGTTCCGCTGTGTCCGTTACCGAAGTGGGGCCTATACTGGACGAAAACAGCCCTATGGCTGCTCCTAAACCATAACCTAAAACCCACAAAGGTGTAATAAACCTCGTAGAATAAGCAATTATAAGGTAAAGTACCGACTACGCAGCTCATGAGAGACTTGAAAGCGCAGCTCTCGAAGAAGGATTCCACCATTTTCTCTTCGTTGGTTTTGATTTGCACGGGCCCCACGGATTTCGGGATGATTATGTTCTCTCTGTAGCGGAAATTGTTGCCTACGAAATATTTGATGAGATAGTCCCATTCCTGGGCGGTGAACGAGCGCTTCTCCTGGGACTCCGACATCGTTTTGTTTTGGTATTTTCTTATGGGAGAATTGTAGTCTGTCGATTTGCGTTCCGGTAGATGAAACGAATCGTTTGGATGTTTGTTTTGATACAAACGAATTCGATTAATAATTAATATACATGGTAATTTAAATTTGAGTTTTTTTGTGGTTACAGTGGAAAGGTTATGTTCTTCTTTTTTACAGCGGCCTCTTCTTATGAAGTTTTGAGTTACTTCTTTTCCGGGCACGGTTTTACGTAGAGGTCTGGAAACTTGTGAGAAACTTTATTGCGATTTTGGGTCAAGGGTGCTTGAGAAGTTATCCAGAAATGCTAGAATTGTCGTAAATTCGATAAAAATGAGATTTGGTAGCCAAAATGGCGTTACGCTACTTGATTCTAGCGTCCAGTAATATTGACAAGTTGACAATTTTTACAGAATTTTTACCGTTAATTATGCCTTATTCCGAAGAATACATTAAAGATAAACTGGTGAAAGAACTGGAAGCTTCGCACGTGGTAAGCGACTTAATTTTATCGTAATTTTTTAATTTTTAACGTAATTTGATACTAGCGCCATCTAGAAGTTTCCTGACCTGGCATATTATGCGACCGCGCTTCCAGTAATATTTACACATATGACAGTTGACAGTAAACGTCAACTATACATAAATTGTAGAAATTTTAACAGAATTTTTACCGTTAATTATGCCTTATTCCGAAGAATACATCAAAGACAAACTGGTGAAAGAACTGGAAGCTTCGTACGTGGTAAGCGACACAATTTTAACGTAATTTAACACAAAAAAAACCATCGTCTTTTTTTGAACCTGTCAAAATTCGCGTACATAACCTAAATTATCGATTTCTAGTAGTTTAATCGAAAACGGTGCCACATCACGACAAAACCACGATTTTTATCAGCTAAAACCACGTTAACATGACAAAACGCAACCGCGCGCGGTAAATTCAACGAATACAAATCCCCAAAAACTCACCATCAGAAACCGCCAATACCGCACCAAAAATGTACTGCAGAATCACCTCAGAAACCTGGCTAGTAATATTCGGCACCCTACTCGCCGTCCTGCTCAGAACCTGCACCAACCTGCACCCGTACTCGGGCCAATCGAAACCCCCCATGTACGGCGACTACGAGGCCCAACGCCACTGGATGGAAATCACCGCCAACCTCCCTCTAAACCAATGGTACCGCAACGGCACCGCCAACGATTTGAACTACTGGGGCCTCGACTATCCCCCTTTAACGGCCTACCACATGTACGCGTGCGGATTGATAGCCGATCGATTGAACTACAACTACACCAAGTTGCTCGATTCGAGGGGCTACGAGAGCGAAGACCACAAAGCCTTCATGCGATTAACCGTATTAGTACCAGACGTGTTGATTTACATACCGGCTTTAGTGTTGTATTATTACACTTGTATCAAACCGGACGGGATCGATTCGAGCGTGCGAAAGAAGAAACGATCGCTCGATTCCAAGCCGATGAACGTTTCTCTATCGGCGGTTTTGGGGTTATTATATCCGGGATTGATTTTGATCGATCACGGGCATTTCCAGTACAATTGCGTGTCGCTAGGATTGGCCGTACTATCCGTAATATTCATCCAGAAGAGCTACAATCTCTTGGCTTCGGCGGCGTTTTGCCTGGCCTTGAACTACAAGCAAATGGAGCTGTACCACGCGTTGCCTTTCTTCTTCTATTTGCTGAGCACCAGCGTACCCAAACCGGGTGAGAAACCCATCCGGGGTCTACTCAGGCTATCTGCGATCGGATTTACAGTGATCGCAACGTTTGTACTCATCTGGGCACCGTTTCTCTTCGATCCGAACGATGCATTGCAAGTTTTGTACAGGCTGTTTCCGGTGAACCGGGGCGTGTTCGAAGACAAGGTGTCCAACATCTGGTGCGCCTTGAACGTAGCGTTCAAATTCAAATCGACATCGGACAATGTTCGGATGATGCGGGCGTGTTTGTTCTGCACCGTCGCGGCGCTGTTGCCGAGCTGCGTCGATTTGTTCCTCAGGCCTAACAAGGACAAGTTCGTGTTGGCGCTGATCAATTCGTCGCTGGCCTTTTTCCTGTGCAGTTTCCAGGTGCACGAGAAGAGTATTTTGTTGGTGGCCGTACCGGTGTTGTTGTACTTTCCGTACGATCCGTTCGCTTGCTATTGGTTCCTGTGCGTGTCGGTGTTCAGCATGACTCCGTTACTGGTTAAAGATGGCCTGGCTGTAGCCTCGGTGGCCTTGACTTTGTTCTATTGCGTAACGTTTAGAGTGTCTGTAGAGCATTATTATCGAGGCAGTTTGAACAATCGTGATGGTTTAAAGGAGTACTATCGAAGCCTGTTGCACACGATGCTCGATTTGGAGTACAAAAAAGGCTTTTTTGAGGCTTCGTTGCGGCAGATTTTCGAGAATTCCGACGCTCTGAGGTCGTTGTTGTTCCATTGTTGTATGTTGTGCTCGCTGGCCGGTTGTTTGGCGTTGTTCGTTGTGCATTTGGTGGTGAAACCGCCGGCGCGTTATCCGGATTTGTACCCGTTGATTATTTCGGTGTATTCGTGCGCGCATTTCGTCGGGTTCTTCGCGTATTTCAACGTTAGACAGCTGAAGATTCCGCAACGGTTCGATGTTATGAGAACGAGCGATAAGAAATCGTTGTAAATTTTTTTTTTTGGGATTTTTAATGTTAATATACGATTGTGTTTGTTTGAAAGTGTTGCGTTTTAATTTGGGTGTAATTTCGTAATTACAAATTGACCTTTTTTTGACCTTTTGGAAGCTTTAGAACGCTCCAGAACCATTTAGAACCATCTAGAACCCTCCAGAATCATTTAGAACTATCTAGGACGCTTCAGAATCGTTTAGAAAGTTTCAGAACAATTTAGAACTGTCTAGAACTATTAAGAACTCTCCAGTATCATTTAGAACTGTTTAGATTCATTAAGAAGGGTCCAAAATCATTTAGCACTGTCTAAAAACCATTAAGAACGCTTCAGAACCATTAAAAACGATTCAGAATCATTTAGAACCATCTAGAACCCTCCAGAATCATTTAGAACTATCTAGGACGCTTCAGAATCATTAAAAACTGTCTAGAACCACCTAGAACACTCCAGAACGATTTAGAACTGTCTCGAACTGAAGATTTTGATTCAACAAGAAGTATAATGCGATTTTTCAATGAATATCACGGTCATTCATTGTCATTTTGGATATTTTAACAGTTCTAAATAGTTTTAAGATGGTTCCGAACTGTTTCAAATGGTTAGTAGTCATTTCTTAAATGGTTCAAAATGGTTCTGGACAATTCTAAATGATTTTGATCAGTTCTAAATATTTCTAAAATAGTTCTGAACTGTTTCAAATGGTTAGTAGTCAATTCTAAAATGGTTCAAAATGATTTGGAACAATTCTAAGTGATTTTGAACAGTTCTAAATAGTTCTAAGATGGTTCTGGACTGTTTCAAATGGTTAGTAGTCAATTCTAAAATGGTTCAAAATGATTTGGAACAATTCTAAGTGATTTTGAACAGTTCTAAATAGTTGTAAGATGGTTCTGAACTGTTCCAAATGGTAGAAGTCAACTTTAAGATGGCTCAAAATTATTCTGAACAAATTTAAGTAATTTTGAACAGTTTTAAATAGTTCTAAGATGGTTCTGAACTGTTTTAAATGGTTAGTAGTCAATTCTAAAATGGTTCAAAATAATTTGGAACAATTCTAAGTGATTTTGAACAGTTCTAAATAGTTCTAAGATGGTTCTGGACTGTTTCAAATGGTTAGTAGTCAATTCTAAAATGGTTCAAAATAATTTGGAACAATTCTAAGTGATTTTGAACGTTCCTAAACAGTTTTAAGATGGTTCTGAACTGTTCCAAATGGTAGAAGTCAACTTTAAGATGGCTCAAAATGATTCTGAACAATTTTAAGTAATTTTGAACAGTTTTAAATAGTTCTAAGATGATTCTGAACTGTTTTAAATGGTTAGTAGTCAATTCTAAAATAGTTCAAAATAATTTGGAACAATTCTAAGTGATTTTGAACGTTCCTAAACAGTTTTAAGATGGTTCTGAACTGTTCCAAATGGTAGAAGTCAACTTTAAGATGGCTCAAAATGATTCTGAACAATTTTAAGTAATTTTGAACAGTTTTAAATAGTTCTAAGATGATTCTGAACTGTTTTAAATGGTTAGTAGTCAATTCTAAAATAGTTCAAATTGATTTGGAACAATTCTAAGCAATTATGAACAGTTAATAGTTTGGTGAACTGTTTAGATTCATTTGGAACGCTCCAGAATCATTTAGAACTGTCTAGAACCATTAAGAACACTCAAGTATCATTTAAAACTGTTTAGAACCATTTTAAACGCTCCAGAATCGTTTAGAATTATCTAGAATTATTTAGAACACTTCAGAACTATTTAGAACGCTCCAGAACCATTTAGAACGCTTTCCGAACCATTTAGAACTGTATAGAACGCTCGAAATTATGCGAATAATCGATAATAAATCATTGTAAATTTGAATTTGTAATATATAATTACGTTGGTTTTAATTGGACCTTTAATTAGTTGCAATTACCTACATACAGATTAACCTTTGCGTTTCGCATTATTTTTTATTATTTTTTTTTTTTTGTAGCCGTTTAAATTTATTCTACGAACCATTGAAATGCAAATGTCCGGTTATATTTTTAGTAATATTTTTACGTTTTATTTATTTTTTTTTATTTTTTTAGGAGGTCGTAGACGAATCGGACGGTTGCGGAGGGAAATTCGCTTGCGTGATAGTATCGGAAAAGTTCAAAGGAAAACCCTTATTGGCCAGGCACAGGTGAGAAAATAATCGAAATTCTAGATTCTACGAGGGTAGGGCGAAAAGTTCTTTGGCCTGAATCGTCTAGAATGATCTAGAGCGCTCCAGAATCGTTTGGAACAGTCCAGAACCATTTATTAGGATGATCTAGAATTATTTAGAACTGTATAGAACTATTAAGGACGCTCCAGAATCATTTAAAATTTTCTAAATCCATTTAGAAACGCTTCGGAATCATTTAGTAACTAAATAGAACTATTAAGAATGCTCCAGAATAAGTTATATAGCTCCATAGTCATTTAGAATGCACCAGAACCATTTAGAACTGTCTCGAACTAATGATTTCGACTTAACAAGGAGAATAATGCGATTTTTTAATTAAATATCGCGGTCTTTCATTGTCATTTTAGAGATGTAGAATAGTTATGTTCTTGTTTGAACAGTTATGATAGTTCTAAAATAGTTCTGAACTGTTTCGAACGGTAGTAGTCCATTCTAAAATGGTTCAAAATGGTTTTGGATAATTCTAATTGATCCTTACCAGTTCTACTAGTTCTTCTAATCAGTTCTACAGTTCTAAGATGGTTCTAAACTGTTTCAAATGGTAGCAGTCAATTTTAAGATGGTTCAAAATGGTTCTGGACAATTCTAAGTAATATTGAACATTTCTAAATAGGTCTAAAATAGTTCTGAACTGTTTCAAATGGTTAGTAGTCAATTCTAAAATGCTTCAAAATGATTTGGAACAATTCTAAGTGATTTTGAACAGTTCTAAATAGTTTTTAAGATGGTTCTAAACTGTTTCAAATGGTAGCAGTCAATTTTAAGATGGTTCAAAATGGTTCTGGACAATTCTAAGTAATATTGAACAGTTCTAAATAGTTTTTAAGATGGTTCTAAACTGTTTCAAATGGTAGCAGTCAATTTTAAGATGGTTCAAAATGGTTCTGGACAATTCTAAGTAATATTGAACATTTCTAAATAGGTCTAAAACAGTTCTGAACTGTTTCAAATGGTTAGTAGTCAATTCTAAAATGCTTCAAAATGATTTGGAACAATTCTAAGTGATTTTGAACAGTTCTAAATAGTTTTTAAGATGGTTCTAAACTGTTTCAAATGGTAGCAGTCAATTTTAAGATGGTTCAAAATGGTTCTGGACAATTCTAAGTACTATTGAACATTTCTAAATAGGTCTAAAATAGTTCTGAACTGTTTCAAATGGTTAGTAGTCAATTCTAAAATGCTTCAAAATGGTTTTGAACAGTTCTAAATAGTTTTTAAGATGGTTCTAAACTGTTTCAAATGGTAGCAGTCAATTTTAAGATGGTTCAAAATGGTTCTGAACAATTCTAAATAATATTGAACATTTCTAAATAGGTCTAAAATAGTTCTGAACTGTTTCAAATGGTTAGTAGTCAATTCTAAAATGCTTCGAAATGATTTGGAACAATTCTAAGTGATTTTGAACAGTTCTAAATAGTTTTTAAGATGGTTCTAAACTGTTTCAAATGGCAGCAGTCAATTTTAAGATCCTTCAAAATGATTCTGGACAATTCTAAGTAATATTGAACATTTCTAAATAGGTCTAAAATAGTTCTGAACTGTTTCAAATGGTAGTAGTCCACTCTTAAATAGTTCAAAATGGTTCTGGACAATTCTAAATGATTTTGAACAGTTCTAAATAGTTCTAAGATAGTCTTAAACTGTTTCAAATGGTAGCAGTCAATTTTAAGATCCTTTAAAATGATTCTGGAGAATTGTAAGTGATTTTGAACAGTTCTAAATAGTTCTAGGATGGTTCTAAAGTATTTTAAATGGTTAGTAGTCAATTCTAAAATGGTTCAAAAGGATTCTAGAATACTCCATATTCATTTAACACTGTCTAGAACCATTTAGAACGCCCCAGAATCATTTAGAACTGTCTAAACCCTTTTAGAACGCCGTAGAACCATTTAGGACCGTCTTGAATTAAAGATTTCGATTTAACAAGAAGAACAATGCAAAAAATCGCAGTCTTTCATTGTCAGGCCGAGATCAGAGAACTTTTTACCTTACCCTCGTATAACTGAATAAATTAAAATTTTTATTGATGAAATTATTTACTGAATAATTCTATTGATTATATAGATTGGTGAATGCCGCGCTAGAGGAGGAATTGAAGAGTATACACGCCTTTTCTCAGAAAACTTATACTCAGGAACAGTGGGAGGCGCAGGCGCAGAAACAATCGTAAAAACATGTCCGATATCGGGGCGAAGGGGGATGGGAACGTCGAAACTTCAGGTATATACAGGGTGTTTCTTAATTACATACAGGGTGTCGTATTAGTATGGAAAAGCACAATATATCTGTTATTGTACCAGATATCAAAAAAAAACTTCATTACAAAAGTTGTAGATCTTTTTAAACTCCATATTTTAAAATTAGATTATTATTAGAGAAATTACATTTATACAGAGTATCCTGTTTTTTCGTGGTAGACCAAACTTATATTTTTTTAAATGGAACACTCTGTTTTTTATTCAAAAATTGAAATTACATAGCTCGTTTTCAGCTTTCCAAAAATATAAATATTGTATTATATTGTATTATACTGAGTGGTTTAAAAGTTATGACCATTTTTTTGATCAACTTTACTACTTTGTATGTTTCTTAAAAATGTGCTATACGAGGGTAAGGTGAAAAGTTCTCGGCCTGACGATGAGAGACGGCGATTCGAAGCAAGTCGAAATATTTAGTTCGAGACGATTTTGAATGGTTCTGGAGCGTTCTGGATTGTTGTAGACAGTTCTAAACGATTCTGGAGCGTTCGAAATGGTTCTAGACAGTTCTAAATGATTCTGGAACGTTCTAAATGATTATAGAAAGTTCTAAATGAATCTGAAACGTTCTAAATGGTTCTAGACGGTTCTAATTGATTCTAGAACATTCTAAACGGTTCTAGACAGTTCTAAATGATTCTGAAGCGTTCTAAATAATTCTGGAGCGTTCTTTAAATGGTTCTGACAGTTTTAAATGAACCATTTTTGAATTGACTACTAACCATTACCACTTAACCATTAAAATTTTTCAGAATTATTTTGATTCTTCCTAAAATTAACTGCTCATATTTGAAACAGTTCAGAACCGGCGTAGAACTATTTAGAACTGTTCAAAATTACACGTTCATAACCATTTTGAACTATTTTAAAATTGACTACTAACCATTTGAAACAGTCCAGAACCATCTTAGAACTATTTAGAACTGTTTAAAATTACTTAAAATTGTTCTTAATCATTTTGAACCATTTTAAAATTGACTACTCATTTGAAACAGTTTTGAAGTATCTTAAAACTATTTAGAACTATTCAAAATTACTTAGAATTGTTCTTAATCATTTTGAACCATTTTAGAATTGACTACTAACCATTTGAAACAGTTCAGAAGTATCTTAGAACTATTTAGAACTGTTCAAAATCTCTATAATGACAATAAAAGACCGCGATATTCAATTAAAAAATTACATTATTCTTCTTGTCGAAATTATTAGTTTTAGATTCAGTAATTCTGGAGCATTCTAAATGTTGGTAAATAGTTCTAAATGATTTTGGAACATTCTAAATTGCTCTAGACAGTTCTAAATGATTTTGGAACATTCTAAATTGCTCTAGACAGTTCTAAATGATTTTGGAACATTCTAAATTGCTCTAGACAGTTCTAAATGTTTTTGGAACATTCTAAATTGCTCTAGACAGTTCTAAATGATTTTGGAACATTCTAAATTGCTCTAGACAGTTCTATATGATTTTGGAACATTCTAAATTACTCTAGACAGTTCTAAATGATTCTAGATCGTTCTACATAATTCTAGACAGTTTTAAATGATTCCGGATCGTTCTAAACGGTTCTAAACAATTCCAAATGATTCAGACCGCGAACTTTTCACCCTACCCTCGTACATATTCAAGAGGGTAATCCTTGGACCCCATTTTAATCGGTCACTGCCGTTTTAAATCTTTATTATTCCCCATCATACAGCGTTTTATTCGTAATTAATTTTAATTTTAATTAATTTCTTTTTTGTAGAATTACCCATAGCAGTATCGGCTCCGGGCAAAGTCATTCTACACGGCGAACATTCCGTCGTCTATGGAAAGTTGGCCGTGGCCGGAAGTTTGGATTTGAGAACTGCCGTCAGATTGATCGAGAACGACGCCCGGGACGCCTTCGACGTCGAATCGGCGACGCTCGGCGTCGACGTTCGCTTCGATTCGAAGGTATACAGTGAGGACCGAAAGTCCGTCGCTATTACTATTAGGTTTAAATGGTTTTAGATAGTTCTGAACGGTTCTGGAGCGTTTTTGATATGTTCTAGATAGTTCTGAATGATTCTGGAGCGTTCTTAATGATTCTGGACTGTTCTAAATGATCCTAAGCAGTTTCAAATGATTCTAGAAGGTTTTAATGATTATAGACAGCTCTAAATTGTCCTAGGCAGTTCTACACGACTCTAGAGCGTTCTAAATGATTCTGGAGCATTCTAAATAGTTCTAGACAGTTCTACATGATTCTCGAGCATATTTAATGATTCTACTTAATTATAAATGATTCTGGAGTATTCTAAATTGTTCAAAATAGTTCTGGAGCGTTCTAAATAGTTTTAGACAGTTCTAAATGATTCTGGGGCGTTACAAATAGTACTAGACAGTTCTCTATGATTCTCAAGCGTTCTAAATGATCCCAGGCAGTTCTAAATAACTGTAGAGCGTTTTAAGTGAATTTGAACTATTTAAAACTGGTCAAAATCACTTGGAATTGACAAGAACCAATTTGAACCATTTCAGAAATGACTACTAACCATTTGAAACAGTTTAGAACTATTTAGAACTGTTCAAAATTACTTGGTATTGACCAGAACCATTTTGAACCATTTTCAGAAATGACTATTAACTATTTAGAACTAGTCAAAATCACTTAGAATTATCTCGAATCGTTTTGAACCATCTTAAAATTGACTGCTACCGTTTGAAATAGTTCAAAACCATCTTACCTTATTCTTAAATAATCCTTTTTACAAGTTGGCCATGTAAATTGTTTGTAATTAATTGATTATTAATTTTGGTACTTGTGAGATATTACATGGCCAACTTGTAAAAACGGATTATTTAAGAATAATGCAGAAAAGTAAGATTTATGTAAAATATTCAATATCTTCAAAACTATTAGGTTTAGGTATAGGGAAGTAAACATGAACTTCCCTAATTTTTTACCGCTGATTTCAATAAAATAGAAAAAAATGGGTGGTTCAATTTAAAAAAATTAAATAATTTGGTATTTTTGAAGTTCAACTTTTCACATGTTTTGTATACACCCTGTATAAAATAAAAAGTTTTTTAACACACTTTCAAATACCTTTGACCTTGCTAGTGGTCACCCTACAGAAACCGTTTTCATATCTTTAAAGGTAACCCCGTAAAAAAATAATTTATAAGGGTCTGCATCGGTCAAATTTTTCAAAAAAAAATTAGTAACTCAAAAAGTATGCATTTTTGAAAAAAATTTTTTAGACAAAAACACTCTAAACTTCTGCGTACATTTCGAAAATATATTAATATATGGGGGGTCCCATAGACGTCCCATAGGCGTCCTTTAGACGAAAAAACTGTCAATTTCATCAACTTTAAATTTGATAAATAAATGTCAGAGTCAAGAAACCACAGCAACAATTAATTAACACATTTTATAGTACGTTCAGAATTAATTTTTAAATATATCAATATACCAGAAGGTTAAAACTAAAAAAACTAAAAACTAAATTGGAATATGCGTTATTAAAATGTTTTCAAATTTGGGGGTTGACTTAAGAATGAAATTACCTTTAAAACGAGGTGTCACTTGACCCCCCTTTCCATAAGAAAAAAAGATTCAAAATGGCGCCTAACTGTCATTTTGAAAGTTTCAACTGTCATTTTTACGTCAAAAATAGTATTTTTACTCCAATATAAACACCCCAAATTTCGCGAAAAAAACTTTTACCATTCAAAAGTTAAAGGGGAGGCGACGGACTTTTAGTCCTCACTATACAGTGTGTGTCACGACGATGGTCCATTAGAAGTATCTGGAAAAGTAGTTGTAATTAAAATTTGAAAATTTGTGTACAAGTATTAGTCGGTGCGCTCTATTCAATGAAAATATTTTCAACTTTTCTTTACTTCCGGTTATACCGGAAGTGGACATCAACTTTGTTATTTTAAATGGGACACCCCATATATTAATATATTTTCGAAATGTACGCTTAATTTTGGAGTGCTTTTGTCTAAAAAACTTTTTTCAAAAATGCATACTTTTTGAGTTAATAATTTATTTTTTGAAAAATTTGACCGATGCAGACCCTTATAAATTATTTTTTTACGGGGATCCCTTTAAAGACATGGATACATTTTCTGTAGGGTGGCCACTAGCAAGGTCAAAGGTATTTGAATCTGTGTTAAAAAAACTTTTTATTTTATACAGGGTGTATACAAAACATGTGAAAAGTTGAACTTCAAAAATACCAAATTATTTCATTTTTTTAAATGGAACCACCCATTTTTTTCTATTTTATTGAAATCAGCGGTAAAAAATTAGGGAAGTTCATGTTTACTTCCCTATACCTAAACCTATAATAGTTTTGAAGATATTGAATATTTTACATAAATCTTACTTTTCTGTATTATTCTTAAATAACTCTGTTTTACAAGTTGGCCATGTAATATCTCACAAGTACCAAAATTAATAATCAATTAATTACAAACAATTTACATGGCCAACTTGTAAAAACGGATTATTTAAGAATAAGGTAAGATGGTTTTGAACTATTTCAAACGGTAGCAGTCAATTTTAAGATGGTTCAAAACGATTCGAGATAATTCTAAGTGATTTTGACTAGTTCTAAATAGTTCTAAACTGTTTCAAATAGTTAATAGTCATTTCTGAAATGGTTCAAAATGGTTCTGGTCAATTCCAAGTAATTTTAAACACTTCTAAATAATTCTAAACTGTTTCAAATGGTTAGTAGTCATCTCTGAAATGGATCAAATTGGTTCTTGTCAATTCCAAGTGATTTTGACCAGTTTTAAATAGTTCAAAATCACTTAAAACGCTCTACAGTTATTTAGAACTGTCTATGTACAATCATTTAGAACTGCCTGGGATCATTTAGAACGCTTGAGAATCATACAGAACTGTCTAGTACTATTTGTAACGCCCCAGAATCATTTAGAACTGTCTAAAACTATTTAAAACGCTCCAGAACCATTTAATTTAATTTAGAATATTCCAGAATCATTTATAATTAAGTAGAATCATTAAATATGCTCGAGAATCATGTAGAACTGTCTAGAACTATTTAGAATACTCCAGAATCATTTAGAACGCTCCAGAATCGTGTAGAACTGTCCAGGACAATTTAGAGCTGTCTATAATCATTAAAACCTTTTAGAATCATTTGAAACTGCTTAGGATCATTTAGAACAGTCCAGAATCATTAAGAACGCTCCAGAATCATTCAGAACTGTCTAGAACCATGTAAAATGCTCCAGAACCATTTAGAATGTTTGAGAACTATTTGGAAAGCTCCATTAGTCATTAAAAACGCTCCAGAATCATTTAGAACTGTCCAGGACTAAAAATTTCGACTTAAGAAGAAGAATAATGTGATTTTTCAATTGAATATCGCTGTCTTTTATTGTCATTTTAGAGATTATGAACAGTACTAAATAGTTTAAGATGGTTCTGAACCGTTTTAAATGGTTAATAGTCGATTCTAAAATAGTTTAAAATGATTTTGAACAATTTTTTTAATTTTTAACTGTTCTAAGATCGTTTTGAACTATTTCAAATGGTAGCAGTCAATTTTGAGATGGTTCAAAACGATTCGGGATAATTCTATGTGATTTTGACTAGTTCTAAATAGTCCTAAACTGTTTCAAATAGTTAATAGTCATTTCTGAAAATGGTTCTGGTCAATTCCAAGTAATTTTGAACACTTCTAAATAATTCTAAACTGTTTCAAATGGTTAGTAGTCATTTCTGAAATGGATCAAATTGGTTCTTGTCAATTCCAAGTGATTTTGACCAGTTTTAAATAGTTCAAATTCACTTAAAACGCTCTACAGTTATTTAGAACTGTCTATGTACAATCATTTAGAACTGCCTGGGATCATTTAGAACGCTTGAGAATCATACAGAACTGTCTAGTACTATTTGTAACGCCCCAGAATCATTTAGAACTGTCTAAAACTATTTAGAACGCTCCAGAACTATTTTGAACAATTTAGAATACTCCAGAATCATTTATAATTAAGTAGAATCATTAAATATGCTCGAGAATCATGTAGAACTGTCTAGAACTATTTAGAATACTCCATAATCATTTAGAACTCTCCAGAATCGTGTAGAACTGCCTAGGACAATTTAGAGCTGTCTATAATCATTAAAACCTTCTAGAATCATTTGAAACTGCTTAGGATCATTTAGAACAGTCCAGAATCATTAAGAACGCTTCAGAACCATTCAGAACTATCTAAAACATATCAAAAACGCTCCAGAACCGTTCAGAACTATCTAGAACCATTTAGAACGCTCCAGAATCATTTAGAAACGATTTATCTTCATTTTTTAGTCGATCAAATCTCTACTGGAAACACCTCTACCGTTGCTCGTCGATTCGAACGATTATAATTATTGGGACATCCCGAATCTGTTGGATCACGACCGCCTGCTCGATAGAATCGACGATTTCTTGGACAAATCGAACGTTCGATTGAGCCATTCCAGTCAAATGACGTGCATTAGAGCCGTTCTGTATCTTTGCGCCGGCATTTTGAGCTCGGCTCGCGCTCAATTCGGAAGGGAATCCGTTCGGCTCGTCGTCACCACCGATTTGACCACCGGTAAACTCTTTAATTATTTATTTATTTATTTATTTATTTATTTATTTATTTATTTATTGAATCATTTTGAACTGTCTACAATCGTTTAGAATGCTGCAGAACCATTTTGAACTGTCTATCTAGAATCGCCTAGGTCTAGAATCAATTAGAATGCTCCAGAATGATTTAGAACTGTTTGGAGTGGTTTAGAACGCTCCAGAAGAATTTTGAACCCGTTAGAACGATTCGGTATCATTCCAAAACCATTTAGAACGCTTCTAAAATTGCTCTAAATCTTCTCTATTTTGAATCATCCTCTCTTAATCTACTCTGAATCTGCTCTTAATTTCCAATGAATCTGCTCTGAATCTGCTTTTAATCTCCTCTGAATCCACTCTGAATCTCGTTTGTAAATCTACTGGACCTGAATCTATTCTGAATCTACACTAAATCTTTTACACTGAATACTACACTAAATCATCCATGAATATGATCTAAAACTACTCTGAATTTGCTCTAAATCTGCTCTTAATCTACTCTGAATCTGCTCTTAATTTCCAATGAATCTGCTCTGAATCTGCTTTTAATCTCCTCTGAATCTACTCTGAATCTGCTCTGAATCTGCTCTTAATCTACTCTGAATCTGCTCTTAATTTCCAATGAATCTGCTCTGAATCTGCTTTTAATCTCCTCTGAATCTACTCTGAATCTCGTTTGTAAATCTACTGGACCTGAATCTATTCTGAATCTACACTAAATCTTCTACACTGAATACTACACTAAATCATCCATGAATATGATCTAAAACTACTCTCAATTTGCTCTGAATCTGCTCTTAATCTACTCTGAATCTGCGTTGAATCTCCTTTGAATCTGCTCTTAATCGAATCATAGAAGCAGAGCAAATTCAGTGTAGTATAGATCCGCAACAGAGTAGAATCGGAATGGAGTAGAACAGAACACAGTTAAGGTTCAGAGCAAAGTAGATTCAATAAACAATAATAAATCCAGAGCAGATTCAGTGTACATTTACAGAGTGGCAATTAATAGAGCTAATTCAGAGCAGAACAACAATACAAGGGTAAGATGAAAAGTTTTTGGTTTGACAATGAAAGACCGCCATTTTCAATTGAAAAAATTACATTATTCCTCTTATTAAGTCGAAATCATTAGTTCAAGACAGTTCTAAATGATTCTGAAGCATTCTAAATGGTTTTAGAACAGTTCTAAATGGTTTTAGCCAATTTTAAGTGAATCTGGAGTGTTCTTAGTGATTACGGAGCGTTCTAAATTGCTGTAGACAGTTCTAGATGATTCTGAAGCGTTCTAAATGGTTCTAGACAGTTCTAAATGATTCTGGAGCGTTATAAATGACTTTAAAACATTCCAAAGGTTCTGAAGCATTCTAAAGGGTTTTAGACAGTTCTAAATCGTTCGGAAACTTTATAAATAATCCTACACAGTTCTAAACCAATCTGGAGCGTTCTTAGTGATGCTAGATTGCTGCAGACAGTTCTCGATGATTTTGGAACGTTCTAAATAGTTCTAGGCAGTTCTAAATCGTTCTGGAACCTTCTAAATAATTCTAAACAGTTCTAAATGAATCTGGAGCATTCTCAGTGATTCTAGATTGCTGTAGAAAGCTCTAGATGATTTTGGAACATTCTAAATGGTTTTTTAAGCATTTAGTTTTTTAAACATTCTGGACAGTTCTAAGTGAATCTGGAGCGTTCTAAGAAGGTTGTGAACTGTTTCAAATGCCAGCAGTCAATTTTAAGATGGTTCAAAATGGTTTTGACCAGTTCTAAATAGTAGTCTAAACCATTTAGAACACTCCAGAATCATTTAGAACTGTCTAGAACCATTTAAAACGTTCCAGAATCAATTATAACGCTCCCAAACCATTCAAACTATTCAAACATTCAAACTAAATGCTTAAAATGCTTAAAATGCTTAAAAAATTTTGAACCATCTTAAAATTGACTGCTGGCATTGAAACAGTTCACAACCTTCTTAGAACGCTCCAGGTTCACTTAGAACTGCCCAGAATGTTTAAAAAACAAAATGCTTAAAAAACCATTTAGAATGTTCCAAAATCATCTAGAGCTTTCTACAGCAATCTAGAATCACTAAGAACGCTCCAGATTCATTTAGAACTGTCTAGAATTATTTAGAAAGTTCCAGAACGATTTAGAACTGTCTAGAACCATTTAGAACGTTCCAAAATCATCGAGAACTGTCTGCAGCAATCTAGCATCACTAAGAACGCTCCAGATTGGTTTAGAACTGTGTAGGATTATTTAGAAAGTTTCCATATGATTTAAAACTGTCTAAAACCCTTTAGAATGCTTCAGAACCTTTGGAATGTTTTAAAGTCATTCATAACGCTCCAGAATCATTTAGAACTGTCTAGAACCATTTAAAACGTTCCCGAATCAATTATAACGCTCCCGAACCATTCAGAACTGTCCAGAACCATTTCAAACGCTCCGGAAACATTCGGAACCTTCTAAAACGCTCCACAATCATCTAGACACCGCACATTTACTCCTTACAAAAACCGCTCGACTTTCTTTAGGACCCTTTTTTTTTTCATTTTTCCAGGCGCCGGCATGGGCAGCTCGGCGTCGTTCTCCGTCAGCGTCGCGGCGGCCTTTCTCAAATACCTAAAGCGCCTCAATCCCCCCAATAAGGACTCTCCCAACGACGACCTCGTCGGCGATCGCCCGAAACAATCCCAAGGATCTAAAGAATCGCAAGAATCGAAAGGATCGAAAGGATCTGAAGAATCCCAAGGATCTAAAGAATCACAAGGATCTAAAGAATCCCAAGGATCTGAAGAATCCCAAGGATCTGAAGAATCACAAGGATCTAAAGAATCACAAGGATCTAAAGAATCACAAGGATCTGAAGAATCCCAAGGATCTAAAGAATCACAAGGATCTAAAGTATCCCAAGGATCTGAAGAATCCCAAGGATCTAAAGAATCCCAAGGATCTAAAGAATCCAAAGGATCTAAAGAATCCCAAGGATCTAAAGAATCACAAGGATCTGAAGAATCCCAAGGATCTAAAGAATCCCAAGGATCTAAAGAATCACAAGGATCTAAAGAATCACAAGCATCGAAAGTATCCCAAGGATCTAAAGAATCCCAAGGATCTAAAGAATCCCAAGGATCTAAAGAATCACAAGGATCTAAAGAATCACAAGGATCTAAAGAATCACAAGCATCGAAAGTATCCCAAGGATCTAAAGAATCGCAAGCATCGAAAGAATCCGAAGGATTCTCCGCCGAAGCATCGCAAGCATCGAAAGGATCGAAAGGATCCTCGGGATTCTCCGCGAAGGAATTGGAATTCATCTCTCGGTGGGCCTTCAACGCGGAGCGCATCGCGCACGGCGCCCCCTCGGGGCTCGACAACACCGCTTGCACCTACGGCTCCTTGATCGAGTTCAGGAGAGGAGCGGCGCCCGCGTTGGTGGGGGCCGCTCGGCCCCTCGATTTGGATTTGCTGCTGATCGACACCAAGGTTGTGTAATTTTCTTACAAACGCTTTATTTGTGTTTAATTGGTAACGGTTTGCGGGCCGACAATAGGCCGTATTTGTAGAAATAGTGTTTGGGTATCTGTCATTTAGAGGCTTCTGGCGTTTAGACAAAATAAAACTGTCATTTAGAGGCTTCTGGCTTTTACAAAAACAAAACTGTCGCTTAAAGGAATCTGGTTCTTAAAAAACCAAAACTTGTTATTTAGAAGGAAAAAACTGTCACTTAGAGGCATCTGGCATTTAAAAAACAAAATTGTCACTTAGAGGCATCTGGCATTTAGAAAAACAAAACTGTCACTTAGAGGCATCTGGCATTTAAAAACAAAACTGTCATTTAGAGGCATCTGGCATTTACAAAAACAAAAGTTATTTTCAGGGAAAAAAATACCTGTTATTTAGAGGCATCTGGCAGTAAGAACAATCCGTCATTTAGAAGCATCTGGCATTTAGAAAAACAAAACTGTCATTTAGAGGCATCTGGCATTTAAAAACAATAGCTGTTATTTTCAAGGAAAAAAATACCTGTTATTTAGAGGCATCTGGCTTTTACAAAAACAAAACTGTCACTTAGAGGCATCTGGCATTTAAAAAACAAAACTGTTATTTGGAGGCATCTGGCATTTACATTAACAAAACTGTCACTTAGAGGCATCTAGCATTTACAAAAACCAAACTGTAATTTAGAAAAACAAAGCTGTTATTTAGAAGCATCTGGCTTTTACAAAAACAAAACTGTCACTTAGAGGCATCTGGCATTTAGAAAAACAAAACTGTTATTTGGAGGCATCTGGCATTTACATTAACAAAACTGTCACTTAGAGGCATCTAGCATTTACAAAAACCAAACTGTCATTTAGAAAAACAAAACTGTTATTTAGAAGCATCTGGCTTTTACAAAAACAAAACTGTCACTTAGAGGCATCTGGCATTTAAAAAACAAAACTGTCACTTAGAGGCATCTGGCATTTAAAAAACAAAACTGCCACTTAGAGGCATCTGGCATTTAAAAAACAAAACTGTTATTTGGAGGCATCTGGCATTTACATTAACAAAACTGTCACTTAGAGGCATCTAGCATTTACAAAAACCAAACTGTCATTTAGAAAAACAAAACTGTTATTTAGAAGCATCTGGCTTTTACAAAAACAAAACTGCCACTTAGAGGCATCTGGCTTTTACAAAAACAAAACTGCCACTTAGAGGCATCTGGCATTTAGAAAACAAAACTGTCATTTAGAGGCATCTGGCATTTAGAAACACAAAACTGTCATTTACCCATCCGGCATTTAGGAAAAACCATTTAAAAGGATTTTCTTATTGAAATATGTACAGTGACCGAAATAATGAATTTATTCCATTTGGCGTTTTCCGCCTCGTATAAAACTAAACTCAACTAAACCTAATATATGTTATAAAGGTGGCGAGGCAAACGAAGAAAATGGTGGAGGTGGCGGCGCGTACTAGAAGGATGTTTCCGAAAATCTTCGATAATGTGCTGGACACGATCGAGTTGGTAACTTCGAAGGCTTTGGAATTGTACGGAGAGTTATCGAACGTGCCCGGTAAGTGATAGAATACGGCGGGTGAATACGAGGGTGAAGTGAAAAGTTCTCACGGTCTAATCCCAAGACGATGAAATGGGCGGGTAAAACAGCGTGATTCGTGTTATTAAGTCGAAACGTTTAGTTCGGGACTGTTCCAAATAGTTCTGGAGCGTTCTAGATTGTTGTAGACGGTTCTAAATGACTGTGGAGCGTTCTAAATAGTTCTAAAGCATTCTAAATGGTTTTAGACAGTTCGAAATGATTTTGGAGCATTCTAAATGATTTTATACAGTTATAAATGATTCAGGAGCGTTCAAAATGACTATGGAGTGTTCTAAAAGGATATTAGATTGTTCTAAATCTAAGTTCTAAATAAATCTGAAGCGTTCTTAGTGATTCTGGAGCATTCTAAATGGATCTAAATTATTCTGGAGCGATCTAAAAGACTATGGATCGTTCTAAATGGTTCTGAAGCGTTCTAAATAGTTCTCAAGCGTTCTAAATGATTTTGGAGCATTCTAAATGGATCTAGACTGTTCTGAATGATTCTGGAGCGTTCTAGATTGTTCTAGACTGTTATAAATAGTTATAGACAGTTCTGAATGGTTCTGAAACGTTCTGTAATGTTTCTAAAAAGCACAAATCTTTCTAAAACTTTAATTTATTGAACAAAATTCAAATTCATGTATTCATTCGTTATTAATTTAATATATTGCAATTAGATGTAATCGAATTAATCTTCAATTACTTTAAATCGAACAAACATTCATTCAGAAACATTCATTTAACGTTCCTTTAAATTAAATAAAGCGCACTCTAGAATCATTTAAAACGGTCTAGAATCATTTAGAACTGTCCAGAATTATTTAGAACGCTCCATAATCATTTAAAACTAAAATCTAAAATCAATTAGAACGCTTCCGAACCATTTAGAACTGTCCAGAACGCTTCAAAACCATTTAGAAGTGTCTAGAACCATTTGGAAGTGTCCATGGTCATTTAGAACCCCCAAGAGTCGTTTAGAACTGTTTAGAACAATTTAAAACTCTCCAGAATTACGTAGAACTGTCTAGAATCATTTTGAACTCTCCACAGTCATTAAAAACTGTCTAGCTAGAATCATTTCGAACTGTCTAGAACCATTTGCAACATTCCATAGTCAGTTAGAACGCTCAAGAATCATATAAAACTGTCTAGAATCATTTAGAATGCTTCAGAACCATTTAGAACTGTAACGATTTTGACTTAATAAGAATAATTATGTCATTTTTTTCAAATGAAAATGGCGATCTTTCATTATCAGGCCGAGAATTTTCCATCTTATTCTTCTATTGTTACTCTGTTCTTCTCCACTCTGTAATTTTGCTCTGAAATTGCTCTAAATCTACTCTTCTCTACTATACTCTACTCTGGACCTACTATATTGTTTCCTAAATCTACTTTACTCCGATTCTACACTGTTCTTGATCTATACTACACTGATATTGCTCTGCTTCACTCTAAATCTCATCTGTTCTGCTCTTAATCTGCTCTACAGAATCATATAGAACGCTCCAAAATCATTTAGTGCTCTCTAAAACCGTTTAGAACATTTCAGAATCATTTATAACTGTCTAAAATCATTTAGAGTGCTTTAGAATCATTTTGAACGCTTCATTTAGAACAATCTAGAGGGGTCAAAAACTATTTAGAACAGTCCCGCTAGAACTTCTCATCCCACCCTCGTAACATCAGATTTAGCTAATTAACCCTCAATATATCACCAGTGATGTTAAAATTACTTTATAATATGTAATTAATTACAATTACAACTACTTTTGACAAATTGTAATTAATTGCAATTACAATTACAAAATTTGCGAATGTAATTACAATTAAAGTTACAATTACAATCACAATTACTTTGCTTTGGTGTCAGTTTTAAGTAATTATTTAGGGATTTGTAATCGGAATTAAACTTTCTACGTATTGAAAATATTAAATAAGTACTTTTGTGTCCAATGTAATTGAAATGTAATTGTAAAATGTAATTGTAATTGTAACGAAAGGAGTAATTGAATTACAAATGAATTACAATTGAGGAGCTTGTAATTAATTACCGCCTCAATTACAATAAAAGTAATTCAATTACTTTTTCAATTACTTGTAATTAATTACTTAACAACACTGTATATCACCTTATCCTCGTACAATCAGATAGCTAATTAACCCTCAATATATCAACTTACCCTCGTACAATCAGATAGCTAATTAACCCTCAATATATCACCTTACCCTTGTACAATCAGATAGCTAATTAACCCTCAATATATCAACTTACCCTCGTACAATCAGATAGCTAATTAACCCTCAATATATCAACTTACCCTCGTACAATCAGATAGCTAATTAACCCTCAATATATCAACTTACCCTCGTACAATCAGATAGCTAATTAACCCTCAATATATCACCTTATCCTCGTACAATCAGATAGCTAATTAACCCTCAATATATCACCTTACCCTCGTACAATCAGATAGCTAATTAACCCTCAATATATCACCTTACCCTCGTACAATCAGATCTAGCTAATTAACCCTCAATATATCGCCTTACCCTCGTACAATCAGATAGCTATTTTCTAATTAACTATCAATATTAAAATATTTCGTGTTTTTGTTTTTCTTCCATATTCTAGCAGGCGCCGATCCGGAGGAGATCAGAACCATTTACTCCAAGCTATCAGTACTGTTCGGTTTGAACCAAGGCCTACTCAACTCCTTGGGGGTGGGTCACGCCAGATTGGACGAGGCCATCGGTATACTCGACGGGGCGGGTTTGAAGGGGAAATTGACGGGGGCCGGCGGGGGAGGCTACGCCATTTGCCTGGTGCCCCCCCGTATGGAGGCTAAAGCTTTGGAGGAGGTTATGGGGACATTGGAGGCACGTGGGTTCGACGTGATCAGGACGTGTTTGGGTGGGGATGGGGTGAGGGTGGAATGTTGAAGTTTCGACTGAATAAATAGCATTTTATTATTATTATTATTATTATTATGTCTCTGAAATAATCCCTAGAACAGTTCCCTCGCGCTGAATACTTGAATTTTGAACGGTCTAGAAAAAAATCTGGAACGATCCTGGACCATTTAGAATTGTCTAGGATCGTTCAGGACTGTCTCGAAACATTTAGAGCGCTCCAGAATGATTAGGAACTATTTAGGACCATTTAGAATCGTTTAGAACGCTCCAGAAACATTTAGAACTGTCTAGAACCATTTAGAACACTTCAGAACCAGAATCAGGACGAATTTGGGAAGCGATGGAGTAAGAGTGGAATGTTGGAAGTTTCGAATGAATAAATAGCATTTTATTATTATTATTATTTCTCTGAAATAATCCCTAGAACAGTTCCCTCGCGCTGAATACTTGAATTTTGAACGGTCTAGAAAAAATCTGGAACGATCCGCGACCATTTAGAATTGTCTAGGATCGTTCAGGACTGTCTCGAAACATTTAGAGCGCTCCAGAATGATTAGGAACTATTTAGGACCATTTAGAATCGTTTAGAACGCTCCAGAAACATTTAGAACTGTCTAGAACCATTTAGAACACTTCAGAACCAGAATCAGGACGAATTTGGGAAGCGATGGAGTAAGAGTGGAATGTTGGAAGTTTCGAATGAATAAATAGCATTTTATTATTATTATTATTTCTCTGAAATAATCCCTAGAACAGTTCCCTCGCGCTGAATACTTGAATTTTGAACGGTTTAGAAAAAATCTGGAACGCTCCGGGACCATTTAGAATTGTCTAGGATCGTTCAGAACTGTCTCGAAACATTTAGAGCGCTCCAGAATGATTAGGAACTATTTAGGGCCTTTTAGAATCGTTTAGAACGCTCCAGAAACATTTAGAACTGTCTAGAACCATTTAGAACACTTCAGAACTAGAATCAGGACGAATGTGGGAAGCGATGGAGTAAGAGTGGAATGTTGGAAGTTTCGAATGAATAAATAACAAATAAATAAATAAATAGTCGTGTATTATTATTATTATTATTTTATTAATTAAAACGAGTAGAAGAGGAGTTAGAATGCGGAGTTTCCTTTTCCTACTTTGCATAATTTGGCCAATAAACCGGACATTTGGATTAACGAACACACTCCGTCCACTATCCGTTGGTGACAGGAACCAATTTCCTTAAAAAAATAAAAATTACATTTAAAAAAAACTCATTCGGTATAGCTATACGAGGATAGGGTAAAAAGTTCTCGGTTTGAATGATTTAGAACTGTCTAGAGCAATCCGGAACGCTACGCAGAACCATGTAGAGCTGTCTAGAATCATTGTGAACTATCTAGAACTATTTAGAACGCTCCAGAAATATTTTGAACCATCTAGAACCATTTAAAATGCTCCAGAATCATTGTGAACTGTTTAGAATTATTTAGAAGGCTTCAGAACCATTTAGAACGCCATTCATTTAGAACTATTTAGAACGCTCCCAAATCATTTAGAACGCTTCAGAAACGTTTAGAACTTTCTAGAACCATTTAGAACATTAATGTAGGGCCATATAGAACAGTCTAGAACCCTCCAGAAGGATTTCGTACTGCATAAAGCTATTTAGAACGCTTCAGAAGCATTTGAAACAGTCTAGATTCATTTGGAACGCTCCAGAATGATTTAGAATTGTTTAGAGCCATTTAGAACGCTTATTTAATAAAACTTCGATTATTTCAAAAACTACTGGATTTGGGTATAGGGAATACCCATATGGATCGAAAGGGCTTAAAAAACTGCATAGGTCACTGTTAATAAATACAGGGTGATCCATTTGAAATAACAAAGTTATTACCACTTTAATTTGGCCAAGTTTGTCAAACAATTTTAAACGCCCTGTACATGCATTCTAAAAATACAGTTTAGTTTCATTTAGTAGTATGTCTGGACATCATCGATACTCAATTTCAAGCTTCTAGCTGCATTATTAACAGAGATATCACAGAAAATACATTCGACTGTTTTTCCAAAAAATATCGAAAAAATTGTAATATCTTAAAAATGGTGCATTTTTGGCATATGGTGTTATTATCAAAGTCTAGTTAAAAAAGGCCATAGAATTCAAAAATGATGTTAAAAATGGCACTTTCCAGTAAAACCGGAAGTGTAATAAAAATGAAAACATTTTAAATCAATTCAAATTATCCAAAAAATACTATAACCAAAATTTCAGAATTTTAAGTCTTTTCATTATTGAGATACTTCTAATGGACGGTTACCGTAAAAAGCCCTGTATAATTCCTAAATGTACACATGATAAATTAATAAATATTTCCATATGTTGCTACAGATAACATTGTTTTATATTGAACCTTAAAATCTTGCGCTCTTATGCCCGATTTCACCAACCATTTCCTAAAGTTAGGTAATACTTAAACCGGATTTAGGAATTCCTAAGTACAATTTGCGTTTCACCATGATGCACTAAGTAATACCTAAATGTAATAAGAAATGCCTAAAGTTAGGACAACTCACTGGGCTTGCCTAAAACATTTAGGAAATACTTAATCATACTGTTCATGTGATTTCATATGACTTAAGTCTTGACTGTCTTTAGACTCTTTAGATGAAAATTTAAAATGGGAGGAGAGTTTTTAGAAACTGGACGAAACTGATTATTTTTTCGCCCTTTTCGATATATGAAAATACGGCATTACAAATATTAGAAAGAATTGAAGATGATTTTTAATTTGATACCCAGGAAGTTTTTGGAACTATTGACACATGCATGTAAAGATCCATTGTCCTGGAGAAGAAGATATAGAAATATTTTACAAATCGGAAAGGTTATTTTTCTATTAATGTACAGACTACATCTTCAGCAGATTTAAAAATAACTAACATAGTTTTGAAGATGACCCGGATCATCAACATCTCTTCTTTTCTCTCAACATATTCAATTTCGATCTCCGCTTATTCGGTTTACACGTCAAAATTAGCCAACGCTACCAATAAAATTTAAAAAAATGTCAAAATCAAATTTTTACCTAGGGTTTTTCTTAGTAAAGGATTTCTAACGTTGGTGAAACTCGATTTAGGTAAGTATTCGATTTATGTAATTCCTACCTTAGGAATTCCTAAATCCGGTTTAGCTATTACCTAACTTTTAGGAACCGATTGGTGAAACCGTGCACCATTGACACACCCTTTACCATACTCACTTTAATAAACTCCAATTTCACGGCCTCCTCCATATCCATACCCTTGCACACCTTAAAAACATTCTTAACGACATCCTCCGCGGCGTAACCCAAATTCCACAAATGCTCCACCACTTTGTAAGCCTTCCTCATCTCTCCATCTTTACAGTACCTCAACATATCCTTCACGAGCATCGGATGAGGCTCGTCGCACACTTTGAACACGTTCTCCGAATTCACCACGCCGAACCCGTTCCGAGTCGATTGCAGATTGTTCAAGGCCTGTCTCATATCACCTTGGGCTGTAAACACTATAGCTTCGAGGCCATCTTCGGTGTATTCGATGTCTTCTTTTTGGCATATCTGTAGGACGCGGGCCAGTACTTGGGAGTCGGCGAGTTTGGAGTAGCGGAGTACCGCGCATCTGGACTGGATGGGCTCGATCACTTTTTCGCTGTAGTTGCAGGCGAGGGCGAAGCGGGTGGTGGTGCTGTAGATCTCCATGGTTCGGCGCAGCGCTTGTTGGGCGCCGTCGGTCATGCTGGAAATGGTTCGAGGGGGATTTTTAATGTTGAGAATTTAATTTTTTTTTTAATGTTTAATCGTCGATTTGATCGTTGTTTGATCGATTTGATCGTTCTAAATGATTCAGGAGGGTTCTAGGTTGTTCTAGACAGTTCTAAATGATTATGGGGCATTCTAAATGGTTCTGATGCGTTCTAAACGATTCTGGAGCGTTTGAAATGACTATAGAGTGTTCTAAATAAATTTGAAGCTTTCTTAGTGATTCTGGAGCATTCTAAATGGATCTAAATAATTCTAAGTGATTCTGGAGCGATCTAAAAGACTATGGATCGTTCTAAATGGTTCTGAAGCGTTCTAAATAGTTCTCAAGCATTCTAAATGATTATGGGGCATTCTAAATGGTTCTGATGCGTTCAAAATGATTCTGGAGCGTTTGAAATGACTATAGAGTGTTCTAAATAAATTTGAAGCTTTCTTAGTGATTCTGGAGCATTCTAAATGGATCTAAATCATTCTAAATTATTCTGGACCGATCTAAAAGACTATGAATCGTTCTAAATGGTTCTGAAGCGTTCTAAATAGTTCTCAAGCGTTTTAAATGATTATGGGGCATTCTAAATGGTTCTGATGCGTTCAAAATGATTCTGGAGCGTTTGAAATGACTATAGAGTGTTCTAAATAAATTTGAAGCTTTCTTAGTGATTCTGGAGCATTCTAAATGGATCTAAATAATTCTAAGTGATTCTGGACCGATCTAAAGGACTATGGAGCGTTCTAAATGGTTCTGAAGCGTTCTAAATTGTTTAAGACAGTTCTAAATGATTCTGGAGCATTCTAAATGGATTTACACAGTTCTAAATGATTCGGAAGCGTTCTAAATGATTTTATACAGTTCTAAATGATTCAGGAGCGTTCAAAATGACTATGGAGTGTTCTAAATGGTTTTAGATTGTTCTAAATCATCGTTCTAAATAAATCTGAAGCGTTCTTAGTGATTCTGGAGCATTCTAAATGGATTTAAATCATTCTAAATGATACTGGACCGATTTAAAAGACTATGGAGCGTTCTAAATGGTTCTAGACTGTTCTAAATAAATTTGAAGGTTTCTTAGTGTTTCTGGAGCATTCTAAATGGATCTAAATCATTCTAAGTGATTCTGGAGCGATCTAAAAGACTATGGATCGTTCTAAATGGTTCTGAAGCGTTCTAAATGATTCGGAAGCGTTCTAAATGATTTTATACAATTTTAAATGATTCAGGAGCGTTCAAAATGACTATGGAGTGTTCTAAATGGTTTTAGATTGTTCTAAATCATCGTTCTAAATCAACCTGAAGCGTTCTAAATGATTCTGGAGCATTCTAAATGGATTTAAATCATTCTAAATGATACTGGACCGATTTAAAAGACTATAGAGTGTTCTAAATGGTTCTAGACTGTTCTAAATAAATTTGAAGCTTTCTTAGTGATTCTGGAGCATTCTAAATGGATCTAAATCATTCTAAGTGATTCTGGAGCGATCTAAAAGACTATGGATCGTTCTAAATGGTTCTGAAGCGTTCTAAATGATTCGGAAGCGTTCTAAATGATTCGGAAGCGTTCTAAATGATTTTATACAGTTCTAAATGATTCAGGAGCGTACAAAATGACTATGGAGTGTTCTAAATGGTTCTAGATTGTTCTAAATCATTGTTCTAAATAAATCTGAAGAGTTCTTAGTGATTCCGGGGCATTCTCAATGGATTTAAATCATTCTAAATGATACTGGACCGATTTAAAAGACTATGGATCGTTCTAATTGGTTCTTAAGCGTTCTAAATGATTCTGGAGCATTCTAAATAGTTCTCAAGCATTCTAAATGATTCTGGGGCATTCTAAATGGATTTACACAGTTCTAAATGATTCGGACGCGTTCTAAATGATTTTATACAATTCTAAATGATTCAGGAGCGTTCAAAATGACTGTTTTGTTCTTTGTAAGAATCAAGGCCGGTCCTGTCCCCCGACCGTGTTCCTGCGTCGAACTCCGAGTCGAAAACCGAACGCTCGGGTTCGGGGGGTTCGGGATCGGCTGAGGTTCCCGTCGTTGTTCTCGTCTAAAATTTGGGCGAACCACCATTTTTTTTGTAATTATTCTTTCGTCTCTTAAATTGTAAATTGTAATTCGAAGATTAGGCTTCACCTATGGAATTTTCACTTTTATTAAAGTTTGTTTGAACTATGGTCCTTCGTATTTCTTGATGTTTGGCGACAACCATACAATGACTATGGAGTGTTCTAAATGGTTTTAGATTGTTCTAAATCATCGTTCTAAATAAATCTGAAGCGTTCTTAGTGATACTGGAGCATTCTAAATGGATCTAAATCATTCTCAATGATACTGGACCGATCTAAAGGACTATGGATCGTTCTAAATGGTTCTGAAGCGTTCTAAATGATTATGGAGCATTCTAAATGGATCTAGATAGTTCTGAATGATTCTGGAGAATTCTAAATGGATCTAGACTGTTTTGAATGATTCCGGAGCGTTCTAGATTGTTCAATGTTCCGCTATAAAACGGCGTATCTCCTTTAATAACAGAGATAATGAAGTAAACCAAAAAAGAAAATGTTGAAAAAAGATGAATCTACCGTCTAATATCAACTGCTATAAGTCTCGTTTGCTAGTATACTCCACATGGTGATACGAATTTTCGGAAAAAAAAAACATTACATTTTTATTACACCCGGTATAATCGAAAAGGAACATTTTATCATAAACAGCGAAAATGATGACATTGTCAAATAACCAACTTATAATTAAAAAACAAAAAAATCATCCAAATCGTTTCATAAATTCAAACAAAAAAAAAACATAAAAAAATATTAAATTAAATTTGCAGTTTCTTCGTGTTAGTTGATGGTAAAACGAGCCAAGAGTTTTTATGGAAACTTTTTAATGATCGAAAATTTCAATATGTGTGTGTATAAAACAAAAAACCACAAGCCTACATATTTCCTTTAACATGATTTAGTAACTTTAACAAAAAAATGTGGCAAATTTTTGATGTTGCGTTAATTTTGTCCAAGGAGTGTATTTACAAACAAAATATTTACCTATCGACCTCGTCCAATATGACGATCTTGTGCCTCTTGGGCGGCAGGGTGACCTTCTGTTGGGCGAACATTTTCACTTTGTTCCGAACGATGTCGATGCCTCTATCGTTGGAGGCGTTCAGCTCCAGAACGGCGTCTTTGAATGCGGGGCCCAACAGCAATTTGGCCAAACAGAGAATGGTGGTGGTCTTGCCGACGCCCGGGGGGCCCTGGTGGAATCGTCGATTCGAATCGAGAGAAATTCGCACGGTAAAAGTGTATACGGGGCGTCCCAAAATTGCTGGGACACAGAGCTACCGCTTGTAGTAGAGGCGAAAATGAGTCGATTGGACCCAATTTATTTATACAGGGTGTTGATTAAAGTTATTTGAGTTATTTGTTCTAAATCATTTTATATAGTTCTAGTCAGTTCTAAATGATTCTAAACAGTTCTAGTTTGTCTTGGATCGTTCCAAATACTCTTGAACCCGTTCTAAATGATTCGAGCATCGTTTTGAACTGTTTTTAATGCTTCCAGTCGGTTTTAAATTGTTCTAAATGACCCTGGACAGTTCTAGTTTATCTTGGACCGCTCTAAATAGTCTTGAACCTGTTCTAAATGATTCTAGCATCGATTTTAACTATTTTTGATGCCCCAAATCGGATCTAAAATTGTTCTAAATGACCCTGGACAGTTCTAGTTTATCTTGGATCGTTCCAAATTGTCCCAAACCTGTTCTAAATGCTTCTAGTATCGATTTGAACTATTTTTGATGCTCCTAATCGGTTCTAAAATGGTTCTAAATGATCCTGAACAGTTCTAGTTTATCTTGCACCGTTGAAAATTGAAAACTAAGCCCTAAATTTTCAGATTCCCGACTCTTCGGGAACTCCGAAAAGTTCTAACGCACAGCTAGAGTGGAAAACCCTGCAGAAATTAATCGGGTCCAATCGATTTATGTTCGCCTCAACAACACGCCGTAGCTCTGTGCTCTGCGTCCCAACAATTTCGGGACACCCTGTATTCATTTCGGTTCACTTACCGCTATAATTATATTGGGAACGTTGCCGGTTCTGGAAAAGGCGGATAATCTCGCTACTGTATCCTCGTTGCCTAAAATCTCGTCGAACGTCTGCGGTCTGTATTTCTCGATCCTGCAACAAAGAATTTCAGTTTAGATCTGTCCAGAACTATTTAGAACGTTTCATAGTCTTTTGGAACGCTCCAGAACGATTTAGAACTGTCTAGAGTAATTTAGAATGTTCCAGAATCATCTAGAACTGTCTACAGCAATCTAGAATCACTAAGAACGCTCCAGATTCATTTAGAACTGTCTAGGATTATATATAAAGTTGCAGAACGATTTAGAACTGTCTAGAACCATTTAGAATGTTCCAAAATCATCTAGAGCTATCTGCAGCAACCTAGCATCACTAAGAACGCTCCAGATTCGTTTGGAACTGTCTAGAACCATTTATAATGTTCCCGAATCACTTAAATATCTACAGCAATCTAGAATCACTAAGAACGCTCCAGATTAATTTAGAACTGTCTAGGATTATTTAGAAAGTTCTAGAACGATTAAGAACTGTCTAGGACCATTTAGAATGTTCCAAAATCATCTAGAGATATCTGCAACAATCTAGAATCACTAAGAACGCTCCAGATTCGTTTAGAACTGTGTAGGATTATTTAGAAAGTTCCCGAACGAATTAGAACTGTCTAAAACCCTTTAGAATGCTTCAGAACCTTTGGAACGTTTCAAAGTAATTTAGAACGCTCCAGAATTATTTAGAACTGTCTAGAACCATTTAGAAAGCTCCATAGTCATATTAGAACGCTCCAGAACTATTTAGAACTCTCTAAAACCATTTAGAACGCTTCAGAACCATTTAGAAAGCTCCATAGTCATGTTCCAGAATCAACTAGAACTGTCTAGAGCGATCTAGAACGCTCCGTAATCACTAAGAACGCTCCAGATTCACTTAAAATTGGCTAAAACCATTTAGAACACTCCAGAATCATTTAGAACTGTTCTAAAATCATTTATAATGCTTCACAACAATATGGAACGTTTCACAGTCATAGTTTAGAACGCTCCGTATTCAGTAAGAACGCTCCAGATTCGTTTGGAACTGTCTAGAACCGTTTATAATGTTCCAGAATCATCTAGAACTGTCTAGAGCGATCTAGAACGCTCCGTAATCACTAAGAACGCTCCGTAATCACTAAGAACGCTCCAGATTCACTTAAAATTGGCTAAAACCATTTAGAACACTCCAGAATCATTTAGAACTGTTCTAAAACCATTTATAATGCTTCACAACAATATGGAACGTTTCACAGTCATAGTTTAGAACGCTCCGTAATCAGTAAGAACGCTCCAGATTCGTTTAGAACTGTCGAGAACCATTTAGAACGTTCCAGAATCGTTTGGAACTGTCTACAACGATCTAGATCGATGATTTTAGAACACTACAAAACGATTTTAGAGAACTCGAATATATTCGAGGAACAAAAGTGAGGTTAGAAATCGGTTTACAGTTTACCATGGGACGTTGTTGGTTTGTTTGATGGGCGTTTCATCGGATTTTCCGGGCTGGTCTGTTGCGATCGATTCGGTTTCCATATCCATTTTCTTGTGTATAAATTTAATAAAAATTCGCTGTATTGTATAAAAAAAATAACGAACTTGTTTTTGTTTTGTTGATTCGAGTTTTGACACTTTTGACAGCTGTCGCGTAAATTTCCCTCCCTTCTTTTCGATTTACTTATAAATGGCCTTTTCCTGTTCAGGTAAACATTTCCTGCTCTTCTACAACAGGGTTGTACTTGCCTATTTGTTTCTTCTTAAGTTAATAACAAACTGGCACACTCGAGAATCATTTAGAACTGTATTGAACCATTTAGAACGTTCCATAGTCATTTAGAACGCACCAGAATTATTTAGAACACTTCAGAATTATTTAGAACTCTCTAAAACCATTTAGGAAGCTCCATATTAATTTAGAACGCTCCAGAATTATTTAGAACTCTCTAAAATCTAAAATCATTTAGGAACAGTCATTAACAAAATCATTAAAAACAGTCTAGAATCGTTTAGAACGCCCCCATTAGCATTTAGAACGCTCCAGAATCAATTAGATATGTGTAGAATCGTTTAGAACTCCTCTCAGAATCATCTAGAACTGTCTAGGGTCATTTAGAACTGCCTAGAATCATTTAGAAACCTCCATAGTCATTTAGAACTTGTTGTTGATTTGAGTTTTGGGTTTTGACATCTTACGCTGTCAAATTTCTCTCTTCTTTTCGATTTTCTTTGTAACGGCTTTTTCCTGTTCAGTTAAACATTTCCTCCTCTTCTTCGACAGGATCGTACTAACCCATTGGTTATTATATTGACGTTAATAACGTCGCTTTTTAACGTTTATTATTCGTATAAATTTTTAGTGCAAAACAATCCGTTATGAGTTACAATTAAAAACAATTTTTAGTTACTCATGCAAATGTCATACAAATGTCTTGGTTGGAGAAACCTTTCAAAGAGCTCGAAACCGTCCAGATCTATCGCAACGATAAGAATTTAATCAAAAGCGACGTTCAATATTTGATCAACTGGTGTTCGGATCGTATCGATTTGCCAGAAATAACCGGTCAGTTAAATTTATTTTATTCAATTTTATAATTTTTATTTACATTTATATACACTGTTCTTCATTCGCGTTTGCAACATAGGCGTTTCTATGAGTTGAACAAAGAAAGATTAATAAAATAACAGTTGTCAGAGTGAAAAGTTGCAATGACATAATATCACTCTTTCTTTTTCCTTTTTAAGTGTCTAATTGAAGTTTGTCTTTGTTGCACCCACAGCCTATGTTGCAATGAACAATTGAGCAATCTGTATAATATAAAAATAACTATACAGATTGCTTCAATTCTGACCGCAATATGGTCGTTTCTATGAGTTGAACAAAGAAAGATTAATAAAATAACAGTTGTCAGAGTGAAAAGTTGCAATGACATAATATCACTCTTTCTTTTTCCTTTTAAGTGTCTAATTGAAGTTTGTCTTTGTTGCACCCACAGCCTATGTTGCAATGAACAATCGAGCAATCTGTATAATATAAAAATAACTATACAGATTGCTTCAATTCTGACAGCAATATGGTCGTTTCTATGAGTTGAACAAAGAAAGATTAATAAAATAACAGTTGTCAGAATGAAAAGTTTCAATGACCCAAATGTCACTCTTTCTTTTTCCTTTTAAGTGTCTAATTGAAGTTTGTCTTTGTTGCACCCACAGCCTATGTTGCAATGAACAATTGAGCAATCTGTATAATATAAAAATACCTATACAGATTGCTTCAATTCTGACAGCAATATGGTCGTTTCTATGAGTTGAACAAAGAAAGATTAATAAAATAACAGTTGTCAGAATGAAAAGTTTCAATGACCCAAATGTCACTCTTTCTTTTTCTTTTATATAAATGTCTAATGGAAGTTGTCTCTATCGCACTTATGATCGCAAAGGAAAAGGAAAGAGTGACATTTGTATCATTGCAACTTTTCATTCTGACAACTGTCATTTTAATAATCTTTCTTTGTTCTACTCATAGAAATGACCATGTTGCAATCGGAAATGAAGCAAGGTGTATAATAAACTTTAGTTTTATTTGATATGAGTGTTAGACATGTTTTTCTTCTTTTTCGATTGTCACTCTTTTGCGCAACCTTTTTGCAGAATTACAAGCGATACTGTTCCTCCATAATGCTTCCTACGACGTGAACAAAGCGAAAATTCTCATCGAACATTACTTCACCATCAAATCGAAGAATCCCAAGTTGTTCGGATCGAGGACGCTGAAATGTCCGCTGTTCAAAGACGCCACGGAATGCATGTACATACGAGGGCGGGGTGAAAAGTTCTCGCGACCTAGAATCGTTTTGAACTGTTTTAGAACGATCCATGGTTGTTTAAAACGTTGTATAGAATCATCCAGTACCATTTAGTCAAGCTACCTATAGACATTTGGAACTATCTAGAACAATTTAGAACGCTACAGAATCATTTATAAATGTATAGAACCATTTATAAGGCTCCAGAATCATTTAGAACTGTCTAAAACCATTTAGAATGGTCCAGAGGCTTTTAAAACTGTCTACAATAATTAAGATAACGCTCCAGAATCATTCAGAACTACCTAAAATCATTTAGAAAACGCTCCAGAAGCATTTAAAATTGTCTAGAACAATTTAGAACGCTCTAGAATCATTTATAAATGTATAAAACCATTTATAACGATCCATATTCTTTTAAAAAACGCTCCAAAATCATTTAGAACTGTGAAACCATTTAGAACGGTCCAGATTCGACGCATTTAAAACAGTCTAGAACAATTTAGAACGATCCAGAAGCATTTAAAATTGTCTATAGCAATTTAGAACGCTCTAGAATCATTTATAAATGTATACAACCATTTATAACGCTACACAATCATTTAGAAAACGCTTCAAAATCATTTAGAACTGTCTCAAACCATTTAGATTGCTCCAGAATCATTTAAGACACTTCAGAATCATTTAGATCTGTCCAGAAATATTTAGAACGTTCCAGGATAATTTGGAACTGTCTAGAACAATTTAGAACGCTACAAAATCAATTAGAATGTTCCAGAATCAGTTAGGACAATCCAGAATCATTTAGATGTGTCCAGAATTATTTAGAATGCTCCAGAATTATTTAGAACTGTCTAGAATCTAGAATAATTTAGAACTCTACAGAATCAATTAGAATGCTCCAGAATCATTTAGAACTGCCCAGATAATCATTAACAACGCTCCAAAATCATTTAGAACGCTCCAGATCCATTTAGAGCTGTTTGGAATCATTTATAACTGTCTAGAATCGTTTAGAACTGTCCAGATAATTATTTAGAAGGCTCCAGAATCATTTAGAAACGTCTAAGCCCATATAGAACGCTTCGGAATCATTTAAAACGCTACAGAATCGATTAGAACCATCTCGAACCAAACATTTCGACTCAATAAGAAGAAGAATATGTAATTTTTGAACTGAAAACCGCGGTCTTTATCATTGTCAGGCCGAGAACTTTTCACCTTGCCCTTGTAAATGCCGATTTTATCGATTGACGTTTGACATTTGACGTATGACGTATGACGTTTGACGTTTGTTACAGAGTAATGACGCCCCTGCCGGCGTGCACTCCGTCAGGCGATATGATCGTAGTAGGCAGATTAATGGACAATGACGTGACTAAATACACAGGAGAAGGCCACATTAGGTTGTTCGACGTCACAACGCTGATGTTCCTGCATCAAAACGGGCCGGTAAATGGACTGCAATTGGTCGCAGATATGACGAATGCCAGTTTTGCGCACGTCATGAAATATGACACGGATACTGTCAAAACCTTTATGGATTATTTACAGGTGATTTTATGGGCGATTTTACTCGTTTTTCTTTAGTACGAGGGTAGGGTACAATGAAAAGTTCTCGCTCTGAATCGTTTAGAACTGTCTAGAACTAAAGATTTCGACTTAATAAAGAAGAATAACGTAATTTTCCAATACAAAATGGCGGTCTTTCATCGCCAGACCGACAACATTTCGCCTTACCCTCGTATATACGTTCGCATTTTAAGGAGGCCATGCCGATTCGAATAACTCGCATACATTTCATCAACATGAATTACATAGTTTCGAAAATTTTGATACTCACCAGGCCGCTTTTGCCGAAATATATCGGCGAAGCTGTAAGTTTTATTTGACTTCATCTTGTATATTTATGGAACTCAATAATTATTTCGTTAAAGATAATAGTACATTCTACTTTGGAACAACTGCACGCTCACATACCGAAGGATTTGTTACCGGAGGATTACGGAGGAAATTCCGATTCGTTGGCGATTTTACAAAGTACGTAAGTACTTAGTACGGTCCTGTTCGAATATCGTTTTCGCTTAGTTCTCATAGATGGCGCTAGCATTTCGATTTGTTTTTCAGCCAAAGTTATAAATATTATCAAGAACAACGAAGCGTTCCTGCTGTTTCAAGAGAACCAAGTAATAGATTCGAAAGTTTAATTATTAATAATAAACGATTAAAAACTTGTTTTGTTTGATTATAAAATAATTCGATCTGTCAATAACGCGGTCGTATACATCTAAGGTCTGGAAACTTGGCATATTTTGTGGTAATGGCGAGTAAAATAATTGAGAAATGAGTTTTGTAAAACGATTATTAGATATATTTAAGTTATGGTTGCATCTCTAGTAACTTAAATGTCGAATTTAAAGAAAATTTACTTAAAAAAATCATCTCCTATCGATCATTTTAGGAACTAAAAAATTTTCTTTTAAGACCTTGGTGTACGATCGTAGACGATTATGAACCAACTGTCAAAATTTCTAAGGTCTGGAAACTTAGCCATTTTGTGATAGTGACGAGTAAAATTATTGAGAAATGAGATCTGTAAACGATTATTAGATTTATTTAAGTTATGGCTGCATCTCCGGCGAATTTATAAAATATATCGTTTACAAAATCGTCTCCTATTGGTCGAATAAGTAAACTTTCCAGACCTTATATGATATACGACCGTGCGCTACGACGATGAACGAACTGTCAACTGTCAACGTCAATATGTCACGAAAGTTTGTTGCAAATGGCATTTTGGGCAAGAGCGTATAAATGTAAATAGTTC